TCCCACGATCTGCGAATTTTTCAAATATTTAAAGGGTTGGGGTTTGAAAAATAAAAATAAATAAAATTCAATAACCGTTTCTGTAAAGAATGGTGCGCATCAGATATATAATTCAAAAGAAGTAACAATTTCAAATTTTAAAACAAGAATTTTGCTGAATTTTTCACTGTTGTTAATTTGATCGTTTTTAAATAAAAGATACTTTTGAAGCTCATGAGAAATGTTGAAGGTCTTTTAAGGGAAATTTTTTAGTGTACAGAAAAGTTTAAAAACACCAATACTTTTTCCAAAGTAAATTCAATGTTGCCGATTTTTTTTTTTTTAATTTTTCAGATAGAGAATCATTAAAAACGCGCTTCTTCTTCTTCATACTCTTACTTCTTGGTAGTTCAAAGTAAAAAAGTCAATTCGTGCAAATATGGAGAATATTATGCTCCGTTTCATTACCGCGTCTCTTCTGCGAATCAAAAATGATTTTTTCCCATGGCGAATTCAATCTTTCCTCGTGGAAACGAACATTATAAAAACGCCCTGCCAGCTTCAATTCCACGAATATTTTACTGCTCCGAATTTGCATGCGTCCGCTCGGAGGCTTTTTGCCCGCGGAAAAAGAAACTGCTCTTGGTGTGCGATATGCGAGATTTTTCAACGTTTCTGTTCAAAATTCTCGCGTCTGTTGCCGAGGGCAATATCCCTGGCACAGAGCGTGGCCATTGTGCGAGTGCTACCTGCGTCCAGGTGAAATAGGGCAGGTGTGTTTGCAGCCATAAAAGCAGCTTGCTTCTTTGTGCTCTCTCAGAAAAAAAAAACACGAGTGGTGCAGGAATTCCGTGCTTTTCTTTAATGAAACAGGAGCATCAGCCGCTGGCTCCAAAGAACCGCGTTTATCTCCCACAATGCGAGCGTAGTGTGCCCAGGAAATCGTGGCATGGGACTCACTTTTATAGCAAAAACGTGTCTATCTCCCAACAGCAAAAGCATTCTCAGAGAAATACCAAAAAGACGTCAAGGAAAAGTTAGAATCTCACATCATTTATCAAATGACATTCAAGAGAATTTAATTCCAAATTGAATGATAATTAATATTAATTAACTGGCATTACAAAAGTTAAAAATGAATTGATTGAATTATAAAATAAATGAAAAAAGGAAATAAAAATTATGGATAAAAATGAGGCAACCTCAAGCCTCAAACCCTAACCTAATTTCCATTACCATATTTTAAAAACCAATAAATATTTTATAAAAATTGTTTTTTAATGCAATAAACATAAAAATTAATGTTTGTTCAAGCTTGAAGCAATTTTCTTTTTTTGAGAAAGTGTATAACATAATTTCTTTATATATGAAATCCCCACAAGAAGCAATTTCAGGTTCAGTTTTTGGAGATTACTGAAAGAAAAATATTTTAAAAAAAATTGATTATAACAGATTAAATTTCGGGAAATACAATTGCCTTGAGTAAGCATTATTTGATTTGAAGCTCCCTCTCCAAACTCAAAGTAGAATTAGTGGAACATTGTGGGGCTGGTTTAAAGAGCCGCACGTGTGTTTTAAATGTCAGACAAAAAGGCATGCATCGTCTGGACGGAACGTCTGGCAACGTTGTCAGTGCGTGTGTTTTTTGATCCCCCACACGCAAGCATCCCTCGCCGCCGAGCAGCGTTTGTTCGTTCGTATTTAGTAAATAGGTTGGAGAGAGAGCGCGGCTGGCTGCCTACTGCATACCTCCCCTATAATCTTCCACCCTCTCAGAACAGGGAAAACTCGAAATCCCCCTCGCCATTGTGCTTTTCTCTCGCGCTCTCTCTTTCTAAATGAAAACTCGCGATGAATTTTCCAGTTATTCAATTAGATCTGACGAGCCAACTGATCAATATTCAAAAATCTGGCTGCTGCTGCAGCGACTGAAAAAAAGAATGCCGGGAAAAAAACAACTCGGTCCGGACCAGTTGGGGGCAGCAACGGTGGAAAAGCTGCAGCTCAAGCATCTCCCAAGCTGTGCAGCACCAGATGTTCTGACCGTAACGGAAACTTGCTCTATTCCATTTTTTTTTACTACTTTTTATATTTTATAAATAATAATAATAACATGGAATGTGTTAAAAACTGGAACAAAAGCAATATTTTTTGGAGTAAAAACGGTTAAAAAATAATTTTTACACGGATTTTTTTTTATATTTTTCCTTGAACATTTTTTTAAATAAATTCATTTGGGATTTCTGGAGGTGTGAAAATCAGCCACATCAGGAGCTGAGCATTCGTGGTTCAAGGGCGGAAATTGTGAGTGGGTCCTCCACTTGTGCAACCCTTTCTTCGTAACGGCGCCCGGCGGGGGAGGAAAATGAGTTTGTTGCACCAACGGTCTGTTTTTCGGTGACGAAAATTTCGTTTGCCGCCCTGGGGAAATTTAGGAACTGGCTCGATTTACGACCGAATCGCTTTCTGATAAGGACCCTTGCTATTTGCAGCGGATTTGGCGTCGTTTCGCCCGAGGCACACATTCGCTTTCGACAAACGATTTTATCTTTTGAGGAACAGAGATCTGCTTATTTTTTGTAGAACATTTTTTTCCTATGCGTGGAAAAGGAAAAACTCATTCAAAAGAGATTCATTTTATCTTTGTCGTCCCAAATTTCCTCCTCAGCTTTCCTTGCTCGAATTAAATTCAAATTACACTTCGGGCCGAGCGGGAAAGAAAAAGATCAAGTCGGTGACCTCGGCCGGTTTAATTGACTCGCTAGCAAGAGGCGCGTTTTCCGGAGCACACAGGCATTTCCGTTTCCAACACAACTCGCTCGCAACAATATTATTTAATATATAAAAAACCAGGCCGAAAATATAATACCTCTGCGATATGATGTTCGGAGGAAGTTTAGAATTACCGCAGAGTGGAAAAAAGTGGAGGTACGACGAGCAGGCCAGGCAGGTTGCGGAGGAAATCGAGGCAGGATGGCCCTCAGATCACAATCGGGACACCCTAGCTTTGTAATTCAACAGCGGGTAATGACGAATTATTGTAATGTTGCAGCTCCGAGCGGTTTCTGCAGCACCGATCCGGCTCAATTGATCCGTCGTTTCCGGCTCCGTGTATTATTATTATGACAAATAAAAGTTGCGGTGTCGATTTTCAAGATGATCGATCAAATTTAGTTTATTGCTTGTAAAACTGTCATTTGTTCTAATGTAATGGATACACAAAAATCAAACTAAATACATTTTTCATTGAATTGGTTTAAACTTAATTTTTAAGTTTTAAGGCTCTAGCGGCCGGTACGCTCTCTTTTGAAGGAGAGGGTGCTGAGCTTTAGCAAGTTGTTTGCTAGCGAAAAGCCATTTCTCCATTCTTTCCCACATTCTTTTTTTTATGTGTATGTAATCATTATTCTAATGTATTTCCAGCATTGTACATAAATTTCCGACTCCTGATTTTCGGCATTTTTTTGTATGCTTGTACTTTTTTATGTCGATGCATGATTCCGCTTTTTTTTGTACAGTGTACTTTTTTTTGCGTTGTATGTACTATGAATGGAGAATAAATAAATAAATAAATTAAGAAATTTAAAGAATAAATTAATCCAGTATTTTTGAAGAAAAAAAATCTAGAAAAAATTAAAGCTTTCTGAAAGTGAAATTAAATACTACTGGTATTCAAATTGTTTTTAATTGTACATTAAGATAAATGAAATTTACTTGTTTGTATAAGACAAAAATAATACTGTTTATTAACATTTTAAGCTCTTATATAATCTTTTTTGTACGAAAACTTTAACAAACATTGTCAGAATTTCAATAAAATTAAAGGAAATTATTAAGTTAATTGCTCATTAGCAACACTTTTTGTACATCCTGTCTGAATTTATATAAAAAAATTAACATTTCCGTTCGGACAAATTGCAGGACGCGAGCAGAATTATTGAACGTGTTTAATTTTTCTCTGCTGAGAGAAATAAATATCGGCGGCGAGGGTTGTCGCGAAAAGTGATCCGAGAGAGCTGCGTGTGGATCGCAGAGGCGGCCTTGGACGATCTGGTTTTGTATTGTTGGCCAAGCCAGCAGACCTTAACCTTTCCTTCGCCTCAATATCGGACACGAATTGAATTTTGCATTCAATAGAAAACAAAAAAGTTATCTGATTGTTAATATTAAGTGTTTCAGCAATTGTGGGTTATCATGACGACGCATGGGATGCAGTTAATTCGAAAGTGAGTGTAGAGTAGACATCCTTTTCCCTTTGAACGCAAAAATGATTCACTATTACACATTCAGGCAGGCTGACTCACCCCGTGCCCATGATCACTCGGGCCTTTCCGCCCTTTTGACTCAACAGTTCAGATACAAAAGAATCAAATCTTTAAACCTATGAACCTAACATAATTTATCATTTTTTTTTTTTACTAAAATGATTTTATATTTACCCATATTTAGATTTGAAATAAATTTTTTTATCAATTCAATCCCAAATTGTAACTATGGATTAAAGGGTTATTTTACAAAGGGTGATAAAACCAGCACCAGCATGAACTTTTTAATCTTCAATTGAAATAAAACCCTGCTAAAAGGTTCTTCTCTGAGAATAACATTCTCCTCGAAAATCCAAGTTAAAGTATTTTTTTTTCACTTAACAGAAATATGATGGCAAAAATTTTTTCTCCTAATTTTTCATTTCCTGTTGGAGTGGAAATCAAAACAGATAATCTCAGCGATAAAAATATGTTGAAATTAAGGAAAGATTTTTACATTTTGGAAAACTGATTTAAAAAAAAAAATAAGTTTTATATAATTGTTATAATTATCCTGATTTAAATAGGGTTAACCTCAGTTGACCTTTTAAAGTGGCATTAAAAATTCATCTTTTTGGTAAAAACCTATAAACAATTTTTTTGTAGTAATTCTTGGATTTTTTTTTTAAGTTTGACAAAGAAAGGTCGATAGCGTACCCTGATGCAAAACAATAAAGGGGGAGATAATTGTATGCAAGGGTTGGGAAATGAACTCACCAGACGACCCCGAAGGCTCCGTAACCTATGGGCCTGTCAGGCTGAACGTCCTGAGGCTGCTGCTGTCCAGCGGGGGGCGCCGGGGCCTGGTGCGTGGGCGGCAGGGCCGCGTGGGGCGGGTGGTAGTAAGTGGCCGTCTGTGAGGCGGCGGCCGCCGCGTGCAGAATGGCCTGGTGGTGCTGCGAGGCGGCCGCAGCAGCAGCGGCGGCGGCGGCCGCCGCGCTGCCGCCTCCGGGGGCCGCGCCTTGCATCAGGGGCATGGACATGGACACCCTGGAGTGTCTGGTGGGACCAACCACGGCCATAAGAGTGGACACAGGGGCGCTCGGGTTGATTAGCTATTCGCACGACGACGTCATCAACACGTCCAGTGGCAGAAGAAGTGTGTGTGTCCGACCGACCGACCGACTAACGAACCAAGGAGGCAATCAAAAGATACGACACACTGCACACCTCACACGTTACTCTTCTTCGGGTGTCCGACGGAGGAGGTTGTTGTAGGTCGGATCGAGGTCGCGCGTCCGGCCCGCCACCCTGCAGCCCAGCTCGGACACATTCACACTCGGTGCAGTCTCGGACGACGGACAGGGGTGCACGTTCGCGAGACGGACTGCTGATCTCGGCTCTGGGTACGAACCGATTGCACTCTCGACTGCTGCAGCCTCTCCTGCCCTACCTCAGCCAAGCCAGGCCAGGCAACAGCTGCAAGCTACAAAATGGTTTCGGGAAAGCCAGTCGACCCTCCGCCGACAGCCCTTCGCGTCCCTCTATCGGGCTCAAGAGGAAGCGCTTCTTTACTTCCTGTAACCACCGTCAGGTGGACTTGAAAAAGTGAAGGAGATTGGTTTGTGATCGGTTTCTGTCCACTTATAAGAAGAAGAGAATTTTCCCTTTAAATCAATAGTCCGACAACTGGATTGTAGCAACCAGTAACTGAGCATTCACCATTGATCAATGGGAAAAAATCATTTGTGTACAAGAAGAGGAGGAAGGTGTTTTGAAGTGCGCGTATTGCTGATTAGATTTTACTTTAAGCCGATTTAACCCTTCGGAGGATCGCGATCGTACGAAGTGATGAACAACTACACTTTTCTGCGTGAAATTTGTCTGCAAAGCAGGACTTTAGATTAACGGAGGAATAATCGTCCACAACCATGACAGCAACCAGGTTCGTCATATTAAAATTTCGAAAGTTAATTAATCGGCTCACGTGATTATTTATTTGTAGCTCATTAAACGAGATGTAATTCTACTCGTGTCCTTTGCCTAATGCATATTAATTTCAAGCGGTTTCTCCACTTTTATTGCAGGGATAACTTGAGCGTTGTGTTTGTGTATGATTGCGAAAGTTGCGTCTCTGAGGCAGACGACCCTCAGGACGCGATTGTTTACTTCCACCCGCAATGGGTCAGCGAACAGCAGCGACTGGCCTTGTGCGGACAACTCATGGGTACCACGCACTTTTTCCTCGCCTCCTTCAGTTGTCCGAAACTGATTTGCCTCAAAAGTGGACAATTCGCCATCAGGCAGTGTGGTAGATTTATTTTGGTAAAATAATTACATAATATATAAATTAAAAAAATTGCATTTTAATTTCTTGAATTTCTCAGGCTGTCGGAACGGATCACAGCCACCCTGCGTGGGTGCTGCACAAACGAGCTGACGCCCTTTTTGCAATGTTACGATTGTTCCATGGAGGAATTGAGGAGATTGGCAACGGATGCGCTTTTGACAGGAGCATCCTTGTATCTCGGCTGCAAGACATCCTGGACACTCTGGTGCCAATGGCTCAGAATTATGGAGATCTGTTTGGACAAGAACCAACTCTGTTATTGCCCAAAGTATGTATTTTTTTTTATAATAATATTATCAATTATCATTTAATATTAAAATAATTGCAGAGTGCTAGCAATGTGTTTTTGGAAGCAGTACAAGTTCTCGAGTTTTTCCAAAACTTACAGGGAGTGATAGGAGGAACTATTCTTTACAAGAACAGGTTAAATTGTTATTTACAATTCTTTTGTACTAATAATTTTTATTTTGTTACATTACAGAGTTGTCTCGACTCTACTGACTGCAGAGCTCACTAGAAAACTTATTTTCTCAGACCCTTACCACATTAGGGTAAAATTTAAACATAAAATTAAAAATATGATTAATTTTTACAATCATTATTTTATTGCATCACAGAATTCGGTTGAAACTGTTCCTGCTCAGTTTGAGTTGCCATTAGGAGTGAGACTCTTGAGAGTTTACTTAGAACAGAGGGAGCATGAATCTTTGGTATTTGCTGCCAACCTGTCGAGAGAAATTTTTACTAACATTGACTTTGCCCGTCCTGAAAAAGTACTAAATTTTACCACTGAAGTTAAATCTAGATTTTTAATTCAATTTTGAAAATTTAGGTTGGAAGAACCTTTGGAAGCAGCATGATAAGGGATGTGTCCCGCATATTCACCGTCCTAGAAGAACGCGAGCCATTTGACGATGTGGATGGCCAACCAATGAGTCCAATGTACAATGAATTTACGCCACCGACCAACAAAGGAAATTTCCGCAAAACAAGCGTTCCTTTGGACGACCGCTTTAACACTCCACCAGTTCGACTCAGCCTGCCAGTCGGAGCAGTCACGCCTGGGACCTTGGGCAAAATTCTGCACGCCAAGAGAATGTCAATTTGTGCACAGAGAGAGGAGGACGAAGATAAAGAGGTGGAAACACCAGAGACACCTGAGAAAAGTATTTTTCGGCACTCGCCTGTTGAAGACAAGAATGTTCCTGCTGAGAAGGAGAAGTTGACCTCTCCACTGAAGGTTAGGTGCAGGAGTTTAGACGACCTGAGCAAGGCAGCCATCCCCATCAAGGGCTACAGCTTTGGTCTGCCCAAGTTGCAGCAGAGTCCAAAAGAGGATGATGAACCAAAACCAGGCACCATGCAGCGACTCTTCAACACAATTTGCGATCCAACGTACCCTGTGTTCAAGGCCAACGGAATGCCTATGTCCCACTCGTTGTTCCAGTCCTACCTTGAGCAGCACTACTGCGAGCTCAACGAGGAGGGCAAAGTCCAGAAGATCAAAACTCCTGAGAAGAAAAAGCAAAAGCCTGATTTGGTGGCAAAAACCGAAGAGCCCGAAGAGTTGAGGTCTGCCCCAGAATCAAAGCCCGTCGAAGTAATAGCCAATAAAGAAGTCTACAAACGCTCTCTCAGTCTTCCTTTGAAGTCGTTGAATCTTTCGGACACCGCTGACCAGCCGGAGAAAAGCAAACGGAAGTCCTTTGTGCTGAATCAAGACGAATCTGCACCTGTGCCAACCAAACTGGAGTTGTTCAGTGTGCCTGACAGAGTGGAGACTCCTTGCGACTTCTCCGGTCTATCTAGAGCCGTGGCCACTCCTGGTGCTCGGGTCACAACCCCTGCAGAGTTCAGATCGTTTATTCTGGAGAAAAGGAAGAAGGAATTGGCCGCCAGTCAGAACAAGTCAATGGAGGAGAGTGTTGCTGTGCAGCCGGACGAGATGGCCAAGGCCGTTCTCTACACCTACGGTTACCAGGGCATGACTTTGCTGCTGCTCCTCGAGAACCAGGCTGAGCTGGACAACGATTTACTCATGAATATTGTAAATTTAGTAAATCTGCCTTTTATATGGTAATAATATGCAAATTTCACAGGAATCGACGTGGCTAGAGTCTGCGCCACAATTGGAGAGTCGTCTGCAGAAGTCTCTTGAGCAAACAACCAGTGCTGACAGCAAGGAGTCTTACAGCTACCTTCACCTTGACCCTGAGTGGGATGCTCTTCAGCGAGGAGGCAAGTGGGGTGCGGCCCAACTCTCTGTGGCCCGGAAGCTCCACACAGATCTGAAATCAACCCCTGACATGACAGAAATTATTGCCAGGTATGTTTCTGGAATAACATACACATTTTAAAATAATACCAGTTGGTATTTCAGGTGTGAGGACCAAATTGTTTATGGATCGCAATACTGCTTGCAACAAGTCTTCTACCAGCAGCCGGCTGGTCCAAAAGTGGGTCTTCCAACGCCAGCCGATCTCATGGGAACTGTTCCGCTGACTGCAAAGCGTCGTCTAGAGCGGGACCACGGAATCGTGCTTCTTTAATATTTTGGCTTGGGCTTGCTTTTATTACTTTGACTTGATGGGATTTTTTTTACCTAGCCATATGAACATTCCTAAGCTTATTTTGGCAGTATTTTCTATATACTAGTCAAGACCTCTCTCTCCCGATTTGTTATTACGATTTACTGCACCATTCCATATTTGATTAAATCTATGTGATTTTGGCACTTTTAAAAGGTGCACCTTTTGTTGATATATATTATGTAACTATGGGTTATTCAATGAAATCTGAAGTTTATCTTTATTTGGCAATAAAATTGTGAAACTAATGTGGTATTTACTATGTTTTATTGATTAATTTAAAATGGCAAAGGATTCATTGGAATTAAAATGGTCCTTGTAGTTCAGCTTGACAAGTTTTATTTTCACATTCACACAACATGTGACAAATCAGTAGTAATTTTTCTGCCAAATGCTACTTGTAAGTGGAAAAAATACATATACCCTGGGGAATAAATACACGCCTGTATTCAAGTTCTGTGAGTAAAATAGTGCTTTGATCCCATTGATGAAGTGGAAATATATCTCTTTGGCTGTCAGCATTTTGATGCCAAGAAAGAGAGACACCCTATTTAACATCAAATACCACTAAAACTGAAACCTCTGGAGGATGTCATTTGCAACTAGCAAAGGTTATGCATACATTTGCACGTTTTTTTTTTTAGAAGTTAGATAAATAAATTACAAAATACAGATCAGGTTGTGCATTTCACTCGTGAACAAACTTACACACAATAAAACGATTTCTAACAACATCAACAGCATAAAATGCGTAAATTTAAATAATATTTATCAAAATTAGAATGATGTTTCAGAATGAATCTCATTAAAAACGGCCTCAGATTTTTACATAACTTGCGAAGTAATAAGTACTGTGTAAAGTGTCTTTCATTAGCAGTTTTAAACAAAACTGGCCAACAGTTATCAATTTTAATTATTTCAAACATTGTATATTTTTGTAAAATCCTAATTGTCTGTAAAACTGTGATCACAATGTGGCACTTAATAAATGTTGAGTCTCCTTGAGATGATAAATATAAATTCCCTTTTAATTTTAGCTCTCTGTCTCAGCCGGCGCGCCCTCAGCAGTTTTGCCCAGAGTCTCTTCAATACGCTTGTTCCACTCGTTTTTGTTCTTTTTTATATCATTTGTGTTTTCCACAACAATGGCGTCGGGTGAGCCGTACTTTGGCGAGTTGTCCTTTGGATCGTAGCCCAAAACGGCCAGCATCGGAGCAATGTTGGGCATGTCTCGGACCACGTCGTCCGGAAACGAGCCAACCCACTTGGTTAAAGCCTCCAAATTCACAGGTTTGATTACCTGGTCTGATGAACGTTCCACTCTGCAAAATAATTGTTGCAATAACTGTGTAAAAATTCCCATAAAAGAAAACCTACTTTGACAACTGCACACCACCAGGTTTGTCTATGGCCTCTTCGTGGTGCAGAACAGCGTCATTCCATGGAGCGTCCAAGAACTTCAAAATTTTCTGCAGCCACACTTTGGGGTGCAAAACTAGCTGTTCGTATGGAACAGGCAGACAACGGTCCGAGCCGACCTCCTTGCATTGGTTGTGCATAGTCTGCGCAGCGGCATTCCACTTTTCTAAACACTGGCGAGGATTGGTCAGATCAAACCCTGTGATTGTCACCTGGAGAAATTTTTTATTGTAATTAAAAATATGATAAGTAGGGCGATTCAAATGTTATACCTTTCTACTAATAATTGAGTTAACTGTGGCTCTTCCGTCTCGAACCATGTAGATGAATTTAGCATTGGGAAACAGCTCGGAAAGGTAGACAGCGCTTTTTAGAGTTAAAGGGTCTTTGTTGCACAGTCGTGGTGCCGGTTCTCCATGCTTGGCAATAATCTCTAGACTAAAAGCTGCAATGGCCGAATCCAGCACCTGTGAATTAAAATTTGCAATAAATAAGTTTGGTAAATCAAAAAGAAGGAAAAAATCTAACCGATTTGGAAAGACCTGCCTCTTCCAGGCGCAGACTTTCTTTTTGGGACCTCAGCCAATGATTTCTCATTTGCAGAATTCTTGGTATAACTCTCGTCTCCTGACCGCATCTGAATATCATGCACACATAGCTAATTATGGAAGAACAAGTAAAATTTTACAGAAAAGTACCTGATTTCAGGGTGAGCGTCCAGCATGGCCCTCATGAGGGTCGTCCCTGAGCGTGGCACTCCTCCTATGAAAATCAGAGGCATCCCTCTGTGGTACTCGTACTTTTTCTTGTCCTGCCCCTCCACAAATTGCTGAAAATTTAAAAGGTCGAGAGGTCAAACCTTAAATAATTTATTTAAAAAAAAAAGATGAAATTTACAGTTTTGGGGACCATCACATTCTTGGGGGAGGAGCATGTCTGCAGCACCAGGTTGTAGATGACGAGGATGCCGATGGCAATCAGGGACAGGTAGAGGACCACTCGGCGCCCTCCGCGCACCATCATTTTGCCGTCTGCTCTTAGACCATTATAACCTGCAACAACAAAAATTACATATAATTAAAAAAAAAATGATGTGGCTGCTTATTAACCGGGACGGCCAAAAATTTTGCGCATCAGAAGTTTTTGGCCGAGGGTGAAACGCGCGATTGTCTAAACTTGCATGCGCACAAGTTGATAAGACAGGCACCGTTGATTAAGTGCAATCAAGGCTGCACGAGGAGGGAAATGTGATTAGACTCGCGACTCCCCGAGGTGCAGCCGGCGTTATTAGTATAGCGAGATACATTTTCCGCATGGGCTTGACACCATCAGGGAGCTACTAGGGTGGCGGGTGAGGAGTGTGTGGGCGAATCCACCAATGACGTCTCCACCGCCTACTTTGAATCTCCTCTCCCTACTGCTGAGCCTCATTCATCGCGAAACTTTTTTAATTTAAATGTTGCTGTACAAATTGACTGATTTTAATTAAGGAATAAGTTTATCCATCTGTTTTTAACAATGCCGCTAGTTTTATTTATTTGTTTTCTCTTTTTAGCCAATTTTTTTTTAACTTTTTTTATAAGTAAACAAAGAGCAAAGATATTTATTTAAAATATCGAAAACTGTAAATACAATTATGAAGATTACTTGTGTGATCTTTGCAACTTAAAAAAAAAACGATTGTGACAAACTATTTGATTTGAGGTATATTTTCTGTATATAATTAACGTTGTTTGGGAAAAAACAGAAGCTCAATAAAACTTTGTTAACTGCAAAATGTAAAAAAATAAACCCTTAATATTTTGAACCTAGTTTTGATTTTAAAATATGAAACAATAATTTGATGTGGCTTTTTAATTGCAGCTGTTGTAAAAACTTTGCGTGAGTTGCAACGTCAGGAACGACGGAAACACTTTTTTTTAAATTTTGCTCAATTCAGTATATAATTTTCTCTCTGCTCAGTTGGCGTGGACATTCAAAGATAACAAAGCGCCACCGCGTAATATTTCCCTGCCAACAATGCTTAACATTTTTTGAGGGCGAAATAAATTCAAGTGCAGCTGTCGACGCGGTGATTTGCAAAAAGTGGTAAATTTCTCGGAATAGACAGGCAATTTGGCACGCGATGACTGGACTCGCGGTTTTACTCTTTCCACTTTTGGCCAGCTACGCAGCGACCGTGCCTATAATATATAATTCTCATTTTTACAACTTTCCCTTGCCTTTTTATTCATTGAGACGAGAAATGCTAAAGGCCGCTGTTAAAATTCATGTGAATTGATTACGTAATTAGAGACGAATTGTTAATTTATGGCCCGAGGTAAAACGAATTACCTCGACTTCTATACTGTTATATGCCAGCCAATTAAAACTGGCTGAGCAGTTACTTTTGATCATCAAAGCCCACGTCTGCAAAAGTGCAACAAAGATGACTTCAAAGGCCATGCCGTGTAGTGTAAAAAAGTAATTAAAAGTTCAAGTCATAGTTACAAAAGAATGCAAACAAACACTTGAACCAGGCTTTTCATCAGTTTTTTATTTGAATTTTGCAGAATATATCAATTGCATTTGTCTTTTGAATAAATTATAAAAACAAATTGAATTAATTTTTAACGATCAAAAAGATCATTTCCTCTTCCTAGAAAGGAAGAATGAATAAAATTAAAAGCGGTGAGAATCCGGTCACATACAATTTATAATCTTCTCATTCACTCTACATTGAATGGAAGGAACTTTCCAGTCGCATCCTCCCACCAACCAACTGACCCCAGAGCAAATTAATAAGTTCAATTAAGTGTTGCAACAACCGTTCCCATAGCATCATCGGTGCTTCAAAATAATTCACCAATTTACGTCCAAATAATTACTGAATAAATTTCGCAATGATAAGTAAACTTTGCTCGTAAAATGTAATTAAGTTCAAGACTGGAAAAGACAAAACAGATAAATAAATTTGCCATTTGTATGATCGATTTTTGGCGGCAAGAGCAGGGCGCCGGCCGGGATTGCTGCAGCAGAGTTGGGAATAAAAGGAAAACACAACGATTTACGACAGTCTCTCACTTTGTGTCACTGTCGCGTATATTTTATACATGAAATACAGCAGGGTCGCTTGATGTGTTTGAGCTTTTCATTTTTCAAAACACTGCGAGCCGATTCATAAATCACTGACGCGTCGATAACGCGGCGCGCCATGAAAGGGAGAGAGATGAGCTGAATAATTTGACGTTTGCAATTTTTCCTCGCTTGCTCCATTGATTCAGCCAAGATATAAAAAGAATAACCTCCGTCTCAATGAAACGAAAGTTTATTGAACTTTTACGATCTAATTAATTATTGTTTTTCCATCTGGTCCTGAATGGCCCAAATTAAATGGCGCCTTTTATCGCCGCGCAAAACAAACAGCAGCAGCTGCAGCGTTTTCCTTCTTTCTCTGTATCTGCTGCGGCAATAATGCGATGAGATATATTTATTTATTTATTTTTTGCACGCCGCCCAACTTTTTGATCCTGAAAAAAACGGCGCACGCTCCAGACAGACCGCTTTTAGGGGATTGGAGTGGTGCTGGCCCCAAAATTGTGCAGACTTCGTTTCCTATTAGCGGCGCATCACACAAGGCAAATAATGAGATTACCGCACGGCAGATGAATCCGACCGCGTTTTCATTTTCCGCTTGACCCACATGAGCCCGAACGCCGCGCTCTGCATGCCGGTTTGTTGATTATGGGCAAGAATTCTACAAAAAGGTTTTATTGAGGTCGGTTCAAATTCAGTTTGATTCCCTAATCAATTTAATTTCATTTTTCGCTGAAAAGTCAGTAAAAGTAACAAGATAAAACATATTAATTTTTGCATACATTTTACACAGACATGAGCATTAAATGAAATTACTTTTTGATTGATTACATAAATTTAATTAGACTTCTGCCAATGGAAGTGACTCCTTTACACATTGACCAAAAATAGATTTCTTCTGACTCCAAAAAGAAGTTGAAATTTCTGATGAATGCAGGTGAACAAACTTTTATGCAAATTGAACAAATCAAAACTCATTTTAAGAGAGATCAATATGTAGAAATGTGTAGAAATAAGCTTAATATTTTTATCTACAAGAACCACCTTTAATTTTTATTTTATTTATTTATTTGAAATTGTCATCTCAGGGTAGGAAATTTTATAGCCAAAAGAAGACCTCTTTTACAGGAATTTTCCTATTCAAAAGAAAAAAGCATTTCAACATTATACATCATGTTTCTGCTTATTTCTCTAGAGAAAAATAAGAGGAAGAACAATTTGGTTCTCTCCGCACGTTGCCCGTAACGAATATAAAAATTTGCATAATGGTAATTCTGAAGTTTCCAAACAACTTTTGCATAACGGAGAATAGGGGTTGCATACTTAGGCCGCACTCTTTCCGGCGGGGCGCCCCCGCATACTACATTACCACAAGGGGAGGGTTGCGGTCCATTCAGAAACTGGGGCATTTCGCCCGTCATCTACATCTTTCTCCCATAAATCAAGTGTCGAAAGCCAAGAAGATTTACGTTAAAAAAGAGGGGCTGGACTAACGAGCGAGACCTAATTTCAAATTTCCGAGTCGCGATTCATCAGGTGTCCGCTTCACTCATTGCCAAATGCACCCGAACCATGTCGGCAGAAATAAACGGTCAGCGCGTGTGAATTATTTGTGCACCTTCTCGTCGCCAGAAAACACAAACACGTCAATTTACGGCCCTTGTTTGCCTCCGAGAAGGAATTGAGAAGGATGAAAGTGCAGAAGGGGGGTGCTTTCGATCGATCCGTTGCAAATAAACACATGAGCAACAACCAGCTACGGGGCGTGATTTTAGCTCCACTTGCCCCGTTTGGCAGGTGCGGGCGGCGCTTTTCAAGGTTTCCACTTTAATTTGTTGAATTGAGTGTAAACCATAAATGAAACATTTTGGTAACTAATTTTCATGAAATGTGCTTCAATCGGATGGGGATTAAAAAAATAGAGGGTTCTTTTTCTCTAAAATTTTTGGCCCATAATTTTATCCTAATATATATTCAATTGTATTGCCCTGTCTTCTAAATCATAGTAAATTAAAAGCTAACATTTTCAACATTTAAAAACTGGCTGCCGCCAACAACATAAATAATTTGGAGAACAATCTTGATTTTAAAACAATTTTTAATAATATATTATTGAAATATATGTACAGTAAGACATAAAATAAGTTTTAAATTTTACATATTGAATCAAATCAAAATGGAAATAAATCGGGTGAAGTTAAATTGGAAGTTTTTTGTCACAGATTTATTCACTGCAACGTTAGGAAAAATTGAATTTGCCAAATTCAGTTAGAATCCAAATTCAATTTGGATTCCAATCCTGGTGAAATAATTTAATGCATAATTTTATTTTTCATGCTTTAACTGAAGTGTTGAAGGCAATAAATTCTTTATCACCGCACCAGTCTGTTGAAGCATTCGGATCACGTTTTCCAGCTTTTGCTTGTCAATTAGCCACGTTTAGCCTATTAAGACAAGAATTAAGGGCACACTGACTTTAAATAGATTTCCCCCTTGTTTTCATGAGAAACTCTTTGAGCAAAACGAGCTATTTGAGAAAAAAAAACCCATGGACAGAAAACGAATATTTTGTTTTTTGAGGGGGAAAAATATTTATTGAATATCTAAAATTTAACTCTTTAAAAGGAAGTAGAAAAAGCTACTAAGGGTGCCAAAATTCCAAAACTTTAATAACAAAATATTAATATCGTGTTTCGTAAAATTTAAATTACAAAAATAAAATGATTGAAGGCTGAAATAAAAGGGGAAAATTGAACTTATGAAAATAAGCACTGCTGTCCAGCTATAAATTTTTTTTCTAAAATTATTGTTTGCCTAAATTCAGATTTATAAAAATTTCACAAACTCAATAAAACAAAGCTTGACCCACAAATTTGCAGGGAAACGATTCAGTAAACATTTTTCTCAAAGTGTAGACCACAAGCTCATCATTAAAGAAGAGAAACAAATATCTCGTCTTTGATCTCAGCAATGAATACAAATGAAGACGAAGTACAGATAATTTTTGCAGAGCAATGAAGGCGTCGAAAGATTTACTGCTGGCCATCATTTGGTTCTACCGATTTGGCTGGACACGTTGGAGGGTGTTTTTCTCACTCCTTCCGAGAACACGCCCGAGTGTCAAAATTAGAACTCGACTGCTATTCCGGAGCCTTTTAATTTGACTCGAGAGCTTTCCCGTATCAGATGCATTGTGTGAGTCTATTATTATGGCTCGTACACATGCAAACGAGGTTAATGCCTGTCTAACAAAAACGCAGACACGCGTTTATTTCGCCCTCTGTTCTCCTGCTTTTTTATCACAACCGCATAGGAGGAAATTAATTTAAATTTATTCGTAAAAATGCCGAATAATTGTGGGCAAAGATTAACTTTATATTTTTGGTCGATCTGATATTGTGAAGGAAAAGAGAAGAAAAATGTGCGTTTTTACCAAAGTTCATAATTTGACTGGACTAAAGTTAAAGGTCAAACGACCAAATGTATAAAATTTTATTATTTTAAAAATGGAAAAAATTCAATCATTGTTTTCACATCATTTTAAAAATGCAATGATGAAAACTTAAATTAAATTTATTACTTAATCCTTAAAAATATCAGGGAAAAACTAAATTCGATTATGTATTCAGGCTTCAATTGTCCTCTTGTGTGGCTTCGAATTAAATTCGCAGCATCACTCAAAGGCCGCAAAATCGGTTCCGCATCACTCGAAAAACAAATATTGACACACTCACCAGCGGCATTGTAGGCGTCCAGCGGTTGTTGATCCCGCGACCTGTCGCAGGTGACCTGGTCCAGGGCCGAACCAAAATGGCCTATAACTTTTCGCTAGCTGACCTGCGGAGGTCACGCTGCTAAGTAGGTCTCGGTGAAGATGAGCTGCGGGCCAGGCTCGGTCTGGGTTTGTGCGTGTCAAGAGCAGCAGCCAACTCTCGCGACCCAAACAGATGATGTGTGTTTCTTTTCTGCTCCACCTTGGCTGCATTCAATACGTGCCCCCACTTCCCGGAACGAATTCGCTCCCTACCGCGAAAACAGAGGCGCGTGTACGCTCACTTGTGAAGGAGTGGGGGAAATGGGGGCGGTCCGATCTAACGTTCAGCGGGGATTGCGACTGATTGCGATTTTCGACAGAAAACCAAACCAAACGAAACACGATCAAAACGAAACGAAACAGAAAAGACCGTGACGAGTCGTGCTGTGCGAACCGCCGCCCGCTGTATTCTCAGCAGTCTCGCTGTATTTTCTGGAATTTGGAGGGCATCTTGTGATCTAGGGGACATTTGAGTGTCGTATCTCGGACGAAAGGTCGTCAGAACCTTGGACAATGGACATCCAGAAGCTCTACTCTGTGGAGTACGCCAAAAGCGGAAGGTCAAAGTGCCGTGGATGCAACGAATCCATCGAGAAAGCAGCCCTGAGATTCTCCATTGGGAAGGTTTGTAAAAACATGTCTGCAAAATCTAATTTTAATGCATAAAATGTAAAGAAAATCTTGTGTGTATATGTATGTACATATGTACTTAATTTTTGTAGCAAAAATGCTCTGTTATATTATTTGTAAAAATTGAAGCATAAATATGCAAATACATAATCATATAATGAAATTTATGCTGCAGATCTGGTTCCACAAAGATTGCTTCTTCAAGTCAAACAAGCCCAAAAATGTAGATGACATTGCCAATTTTGAAGATCTGCGTGCTGATGACCAAGTCTCTGTTCGAGCCCTTGTTGGAGATCAACTTGCTGAGCACCGTCAGAGAGTTGAAGATGACGAAGGTATGTATCGATAAACACACACACATAAACAAAATGCAGAGAGGGCTCAAAATTTTCTGCATTTTGCTCATATAATTTATTTTAATTCTGTTATGTATTCAGAGATTTATGTACATATTATTGCACTTTGTCGTTAGGATTTTTCGGGATTTTTATAATTTCTCAATTATTATACATTTGTTTTACTTAAATTTTTTATAAGTAATTTTTCCTTTTGTAAGATGGTGCGTAAAAGAATTAAGTAAATAACTTATTTCCTTTAAGACTGCTTTAAGAGATTGCTTAACTTAAGTATTCAAAAACAATTTACATATCAATGTTTAATTTGTTTTCAATGAAAACTATTATATATTAATTTTTTGTTTGCCCTAAGATCCGTATGAAAACGTTTATGATGATTACGAAACATTTGAGGAGTGGATGGACAATCAGTCATCACACAGGCGCAGAGATAGCAGGAATGATGAATTCTTGGTTGGCCACGCTTCGTCCAATCGCTCTGCTTGTCGCTACTGCCGCAATTTCATTGACAAGGTTAAACATAATTTTGTTCCTGTGGACTATGAAAATATTAAATTTATTTTATATTGCAGAGGGAGGTGAGGATTGCTAAGATGGACTACGATTTCTTGGCCAACTCTTCTTACAACAGAGATCCAGCTCCCATTCCACGCTGGTATCATGTCAGGTGCTTTGCTCAAATGAGGAACCAACTCCAATTCAAAAGAAGTGCTTCGAGCATCCCTGGATTCTCTCAACTGCGCCAGGAAGACAGAGACATGGTCATGTCTCACCTGCCAAACAATGTGTGACTTAATTGGCACCTTAAAAACAGTAAAATTTTCACAAAATTAAAAATTTGCATAGCTCATAAACCTCAATTTCTAAGGAATGATTACTCAAGTATATATAGGTATTATGCATTGTTGATAAACAATGAAATATTTTAAAACTGTAATAACAGATTATGGTGTACTCAATAAATAATGCGCTAAAAATACAGTGGAATTTGAGTTTTAGGTAGAATAGAAAATTAACTGAAAATATGGAATGCTTACGGGTTTTAATATATTTGGATTTCTATTATTCCGGCAGTGTTTTAAGGATTGAAATTTAAACTTTAAAATTCTAGCTCCTTACAAAAATATTTTCTGTTAAAAAAAAATAATAAAATGAAGTATGGTCTTATGAATTATGAAATAAGCTCTTTCAACTTGACTAAAAAAACCAAATATAATATTCAGCCCTTACTTGGGCTACCAGAGCTTTCTCTTAATGAAACTAACCAATTATCGCATGATTACCAGGGATATCACTATAAAAAAGCGTGTCGCTCTCGTCGTCGTTCATCTCACCTAAAGCAGGTAGCGCTAATTGTTTTCTTCCCTTCTCACCGCGCAGTTAGTAAAAAGAAAGGCGCACTTTGGCAGTGCGCGACCGCGACTTGAACTTCTTGAAAGACTTGCACCGGCAATCCATCACGGCGCGTCACCACGTGCTTTTCGTCTCGTCTGTCCAGCGTCCACGCCAGGCTGTCCTCAGAGTGCTAGCAGTGGTGTTGAAATTACAGGGAAAATGCTTATTCATAAGGTTAGGCGGGTTGCTTTTTAGGCTTTTTTTCTTGTTGCATCTTATGTTCCATCAGCGACCTTCTTTTGATACATAAAAAAAGCTACTGTAGGACTGTAAGTGATCATTTTCAAAAATTAAGCCTATAGAAGAATAAAAATAAATTATATTAAAAGGCAATTTTTTTCCATATTTATTCCTGAATTAATTGCTCATTCATAATTTGAGGCGGGTCGCTTAATACGTTTTTTTTCTATTTCCATCTAATCTGCATCTAATGTTCCATCAGCAGCCTATGTTTAAAAAAGTTTCATTAGAGGTCTGTAAGTGAATATTTTCAAAATAAAGGTCTATTAAAAATACATGCAGGAATTATGTTAAAAGGAATTTTTCTAAATTATTTCTTTCTGATTAAAATGCACATTCATAAGGTCAGGCGGGATGCTTTTTTGACGTTTTTTTTTTTTTTTACTTTTTGCATCTTATGTTCCATCAGGACCTGCTTTCGATATATAAAAAAAGCTGCTTTAGGACTGTTAGTGATCTTTTTCAAAATTCAGGCCGAGTAGAAAAAACAGGAATTATATTAAAACTAGGCAATTTCTTTTTCAATATTTATTCCTGAATTAACTTATTACTTGCCCATTGATAATTTGGGGCGGGTTGTTTAATACGTTTTTTCTTCCTTTTCCATCAGCGGCCTGCTTTGTATGCTTAAAAAAGCTTCTTTAGGTCTGTATGAGAACATTTTCAAAATTAAGGCCAATTAGAAAAAAACAGGAATAATATTAAAGGAAATTTTTTTTCATTATTTCTTTCTGATCAAAGTTCCCATTCATAAGGTGACGCGGGTTGCTTTTGACGTATTTTTTCTTTCCATATTATATGTTCCATCAGCGGCGTGCTTTGTATGTTTTAAAAAGCTTCTTTAGGTTTATAAGTGAACATTTTCCAAGTTAAGGCCTAGTAGAAAAAACAGGAACTATATTAAAAGGCAATTTTTTTTCAGTCTGAATTAATTTTATTAATTGCTTATTCACAATTTGAGGCGGGTCGCTTAAACGTTTTCTTTTTGCCATCTTAAGTTGCATCAGCGACCTGTTTTTGATATAAAAACGCTACTTTTGGACTCTAAGTGATCACTTTCAAAATTCAGGCCTAGTAGAAAAAGCGGGAACTATTAAAAGGCAAATGTTTTTTTTCTTTATTTATAATATTTATTCCTGAATAAATTGGCTAATTTGCTCATTCATAATTTTAGGCGGCGGGTTGCGGGATCCCCTGGAAAAATCTGGCTGAAAATTACCTTCATTTTGGTATTTAAAAAAAACGAAATCAGACCGCGTAAACGCAAGTTAGAGTCGCCGGCCTGTGCTTGCCCATCCTCCCATAAGAAAAGCATTGCAAGGTCGTTTTGCTCGATTTTAAAAGCAATAGAACTTCTTCCATATGGAAATGCAACCCATGGTCCTATGGTAATCCGGACGCGTCTCCGGTAGGTGCATAATCGCTGTTTTGTACCTTTTTTTATTTTTGACTTTTTTCAATGTGTATTCAGAAAAAAAAAAATACTTTTTTTACCCTTCGGAGTGCTGGCAAACCATGTTGCGCGGGTCTTAAAAACCGAGTCACCCCGGGAAGATGTAGTGCATCAGTGGAGCTAACTTCCATGGGATATCTCGGTGAGTCTAGATTTTTTTAAATCTGTAGTTTGCACGCTTTTTCCAGAAAACTTTTATCACGTTTTTCGGTAAAAACCCTGAATTTAAGGTACAAAAGAAGGGTCAAAAAAGCAAATTAAATTCCGGATTGAACGGTTGCAACGCCGTTTTTCTCGCTCGAGCAGGAGACGGGGAAACAAACTCTCAAGTAAACACGTCGGGGGGCCGCGCGGGGCCCAGACTTCAATTTCCTTAAAAAAATCCATAATTTTTTTGCTGTAGTCTATTGGCCAAATTATGGAATAGGACATATGGAAAATTATTAACTTCATACTTTGTGTAAGAATTTCGTTATATTTATAATATGAATTATTAATTATTGTTTATTTTTCCGTCATTGTTACAAACAGTTACAAAATACGTTGTTTACACACTTTACACTCAATTTTTGACCACAATTTGTTTTACGAAAAAGGAATAATTGTTGGACAAAACGGCACCACCGCACCACCAGAGTAGCAAGAATTTTGTAAAAAACTTGAACTTTTGTTCTTACCACTTCGTATTATAGCGTAAAAATAACCCTAAAATTAATTTTTTTGTTTGTTAAAATTTAAAATATTATTTCAAATTTATTTTCAATCCTCACCCGTTTATTTTTCCTGGACACTACGGTTAAAAAAAAGTAAGGAAAAATCTGACTTTATCCAAGTTTGTATTTTTCAATCAAGCGTTGTAAAGACGTTGGTTTTCAAAAAATTTTATTACAAGGAATTTATTGTCTATAGTTTGTTTAGATGAAAAAGATTCCGTTTTATTTTTGAACAAAACACAATTTTTCCAATAAGAACAAGTTCATTAATGTCTCCTCAAGGGTCAATTTCTTTAAAACTAAAATATAATTTCAATATCGCTCTACTCTACATTTTCATAAAAATTAGTTTGTTAATTTTTGCGGTGCAAATACTAGTAGAATTAAAATATAAAATTGTATTTTTCAATTCAATTTGTTCAAGGTAATAAAAGTAGAATAAAATCATTCATAATATAATTATATCACTAAGGTCGCGAGGGAAGAGTGCTCTGCTGCAGCGAGGTGCCATCTCGCCGCAGCGTCCCCAACGGAAGAATGGTCGAACCAGCACTCATTACTCTTGTTGCTCATTACCATCTGATTACCAGGAAATGGAAATAAGCGAAATAAGCGCCCCAGGAACCCGAATAATACTCTTCTATTCTATCCTTAGGCCCGAATCAAAAATCCGAATAAAAAAATCAACAAATCGCGTGGACGTGAATTTACATTTTTGTATGTGTGCAAAAAAAAGGATTAATTCGGATTAATATAATTATTCGTTTCTTGTCAAGCTCATCAATGAATCAAGAAATTTGTTTTCAAAAGAAAGATTTTTATCATTTTTATTATGATGCCTAGCCTAGGCCCTAGAGGCTTATCATTGATTTCAATCATATATTATTTAAAATTTCTTTCATCAATTCATCTCAGCTCAGCTTTTCTCAAAATTGTCAATAGTCTTTTTTAATCATACACACGTATTTGCAGGTTTGATCACGTTGCAGTAGATTTCACTTGGCGCAATACACATACGAAAATTCCCACTCCTGCACATTCTGAACTACGAACCAATTCTGTACAGTGTCCTCTCTAGAGAAGGGGGAGAAGATAATATGCACAACTCATACCAACTGCTGGACGTTCAAAAGTTTGTCGGATAGAAACAAAAATTAATCTTATTGGAAATCAATGTGAGATCTTTTTTAGGGATGAAATATAGATCATTTTATACTATTTTTTCAGGTTTGGGTAAACTGAATTAACGAGAAGGTGGCAAATCGTTGAAGTTTACACAGAAATATTTCATCTATAATTCTCAACAGTTGGTCAACCTGCACAAAAACCGTACAAATTTGAGTTGCAACAAGTTCATTTCAAGGGTTCATTCAAGGTTCATTTCAACGTTCATTTGTTGCTCGTTCTCTGTTTCTCTCTTTCTCAGTTTCTCTGTTGATTCTGTTAGTCAACGTCGTCAACGATCGTCTTTGTTGGAAAGTGGTTGTTTCTCTCTCCTCTGCTGTGTTCCCGTCATCTCATCTCCATTTTCTTCAAAAATCTTTGGCTCCAACTTTAATTTACTTAAGTATGTAATCAATCTATTATCTTTGTGGATAACATTTAGTAATTATCTAACATTTAATGAATATTTTTTGTAAATTGACCGTTCTTCGATCTGTGGTGTGCGTGGAGATCGGTGAATTTATAGTTTTACGAATTTTGAGATCCAAAAGCGTACACGAATGCCGTAAATCCCGGCCAAGAATTTGCGCATACATGCGCGAAAACCATAGGCTCCAGAAATCGGGGGTTTCAATTTAGAATCGGATATGAAAATTCGCACAAATTTTTAAATTCGGAATTCCTAACGTATTTCCATAAACGTATGTAATATTTGCGCGTTATATCAGAATTTTGAAGTTTTAATTCTTGCTGAGCAACACGGCGAATTCTCTTTTTTTTTTCGTTAAAAATGAATGACAATCGATTTTATCGATTTGATAATTTCATAGATTTATAAGCGCACATTAGCGCATACACATGGAAGACAGCGTATTTCTTTTTTTTCTAAATATTTACTACATATTATAATGAATTCTTCGTGGACATGATTTCTTTGTGTAGTCATTTAAGGCATCAATTTTTGTATTTTTAATTTTTACCATTCTTTTTCGGTGATACTATTTTGTTCATAAGAGCTTTTTCTTATGCAAGAAAATTAATTTATAGTAGATATTAATTTATATTTTAATATTATGCTTAAGTTGATTTTATTTTATAATATTTTTAATTTACAAAATATTATTTAAATTCATTTGCATTATAAATTAGCGTATATACATATAATAAAAATATTTATACAAGAATTTATCCTGTTAGGTTTTTCTGCAGACAAAAAAAAAACGACCGCTAAATTAGAGATGCCATGTCTGACGTTAACAACGTATTGTGGCCTCGATTTATTGAACCAGATGGAAAGGAAAGAGTGGCCAACATCAGAAATGCACCAGCAAAAGAGGCTCCAATTTCGATCGGGATCATCCAAACAGTGATGCAAGATGTGGCAACAATGGCTTATTTCTTGCTTTCGAATAATGTTCTCATCCTCGTTGACGACCCTGAAACGCAAGTGATCGGGGCAGTGATGATTACTCGAGGATTGACTGATGATCAAATCGACCTTGCCAAGAAACGACCCCAAGAAACTACCAGGGTGCATTATTTTTGCTGTTGCCCTGATGAATGGGTACCGCCCTGCGGCAGGAGTTGCTCACAGTGAGCAGAGCAATTAAATTTTTTCCCCAAAATTTTAATCAAATTTCTATCATTGCAGAGAAAAAGGATTGGGTTGAGTACGTGGAGGACAACTTTATTCCTACCCACGCAGACATTGTTGCAGCAGCTGTAGGCGGCGACGAACAACATGAGGTGGCTGGTGACGAACCTAATGAGGTCGCTGAAGAGATAAGTGACGAATCCAATGAGATTGTCGGAGTGGCTGGGACGAACCAGTGGTCATTCAAGAGCCTGCTGTCTACCAGAACAACCAGGTTTTCCTCTCGCCCGAAGGAGTCAATAAAAGCAACACTGCAGGCCATAAACTCTGTCTGGAACCCTGCTTGTGAGGTCATCAATGGCGCCTCGGCTGTCTTAGTGGTTGCTGCCATGCCTCCTATAGATGCAGAGCCAAGTGAAGTTGCTGAGCCCGAGGTCAATGTCGGAGTTGCTGTCTCTCTGGATATCAGTGACGAAACTGCTGAGCAAGTCTCCAAGACGGTTTCGGAGTTCAAGCTAATAATGAAGATGATGAGACTGACACCAACGATGCCATGGCTGAAGAATTTGGTCTCGGGTGAAAAGACAAAACGACCTCTCCTTGATGGTGATGAGTGATCGCTCCATAATAAACCTTTATATTTCAACAACTGCAATTCAATTTGAAACTATAGTAGTATGCAGCAGTTAGATAATAATGAGTCTTGAGTTGATTTGCAAATATGTTGTCATTTAAATGTAAACCTTATTGATTTAGATTTATATCTAATTACAGCATATCTTTAACAAGTTAAAAAAAATATTTTATGCTAGAATTAAAATAATCTTATGCATGTATTTCTGTTTTTTAAATGCTTTGGTGCTGGACTCCTAAAAAAATGAGAAATTTCAATACTAGAGAGCACAGCGGCTGCATTATAACTGTTTTATAAGAATCGTCTGCCAGCTCTTCAGCCATCCTTAAGATAAAGAAGATCAAAGTATTTTGCTAAAGATGACTGATAGCAATTAGCTGCTCTCAACATGAATAGGACACTATGATTGTACTAGACTGAAAGCACCTATGCTGAATTTAATAAATTTACAAGTATGACTTATGAATAAAATAACATTCATTTTAATAGAAAAAGTAAATCTATTTGCTTTTATTAGTTAATGATCATGGCACTACTACTAAAATGTATAATGGAATATATTATTTGTGATTGAATAGCCCTCAGTCATTGACTAGCAAGTAAACATGGAGGGAAACATTGCAGGGACATTCGGTCCCTGGTTAATTAACTATCTCAAAGAAACAATATACAGACTGAGAGAAGTGAATATTAACAGATACACAAAGCAATATGACTAAACAGCAAGGATTTCTGCATTGGACCTTGAAAACTTCTACCCTCTAAGCAGCATCTCGTGCCATCCCATCTTTGGACTCTCTCCTTGCAGGAAGCAGGGTGCTCCCATCTTTCTTTGCCGCCTCTTTGATGGACGACAACGTCTTGTGCAGCCAAGATCCCTTACTAGCCTGTAGCTCGGAGCTGGCTGCATTTAACTGATGTGTCAGATCCTGAGAAAGATTTAACCTGAGAAAAATTTAAAAGTTGATAAATAAGATCTACCTGATTTCGACACGCTGCCTCCACATGTTCTAATTTGGTCTGGGCCAATTCAAGCTCCAGCTCTCTCACTCGTTGAAGAGCAACCACAAGACGAGGATCAGCATCTACACTCAGGGGGTCCACCCAGGTGCCAACAGAATCTCCCTTGCACTTGGGGCAGAGTTGGCCCTGTGAAAAACGAAATTATTTAAATCTTGAAGTGAGGTTTTTCTAATCTATGTACTTGAGATTCTTTGTCTTTCCCAGCTTCGACTTGCTCCTCAAGCCGTTGACTCAGCTGCGAGCAAATCTGCTTGTACTCCGCTATGATGGCTTCGTTCCTCTCCCTTTCTTCATTTGCCCGTTGAACCTCCCTTTTGATCATGTCCTTCACTTGAGTAACTTCAGACTCTAGCCGAAGTCTGTCCTCTTCAGACATCTGCAGCTCGCTCTTCAGCCGCTCCAATTCATTTCCATACTGGTCAGCCTTGTCTTGAGCATTCTTAAAGGTGAGGAATTCTTTTTCGTATTTATGCAGCTTCTTCACATTGAGGCTGCAGGCCTTTTTCATCAGTTGGGACGAAGCTTTAGGCGTTCTATACTTTTTAGGCAGATTCACTCTGAAATACTTCAAAATCCCCTCAAAGTCGAGTTGCAGCAATTCCTTTTTGCTGGACTGAAAAATTTTTTAGTTTATTATTTTATGGTTTTAACATAAATTACCATTAACAAAGCGAGGGCAACAAGAAATAGAGTATCAATTCCCTGCAGAAGGAAAACGTCCAGAATGTGGAAAACCATGTGCAGGGGGAATTTAGCAGTGAAGAGGGTGAGAAACCACTGCGAGCCGTACATGTGCTCCTCGACTCCCTTGTCCTGGAAGTGCTGCCACAAGTCTTGCACCTGGTCCTCCATAAGTCGGCTCAGCTGGTAGAGCCGCATGTTGAGATTCTCGAATCCGTCCTTGAAAAGATCTCGCAATTTGTAGCGGTACATAATTTGCACCAGCACACAGAAGGCTTGTTCCTCTGGCATGTGCAGCAGCAGGGCGGCGGCAAGAAAACTCAGTCCTTGGCAATAGCCAACCTCCTCGTCATATACAGCATAGGCCTTTGAGAGTCGGAAAAGCGAGTCCTGGCCAAGACCGCCGGCCTTCTTGAAAAAGTCATGCGCTGGAAACGTGCGATTTATGTCCCGCTGAATGACCGACTCGCAGCTACTCTCCTTGGCAATCAGAAGCCTGTACTTCTCCATCACTTCGTCGCTGTACCCAGCTAGCCGTTGCCAAACCTCGGCTCGGAGAGCGTGAGGAATGCCTTGGCACACCAGATGATTCAATTGCTTAGGCTTGCTTCCAGTCTGTGTCCACTTGGACAAAGCGTCAGACCACTGCTCTAGCAGTGCTTCACTACAGTCTTTTGAAACATCACCTGTTCCACTCAGCATAGGCTCGTCATTGTCTAGAAATATTATCAAAGGGTCTTAAAAGAATGATATATTTAGTGTAATTTACTTCATTTTAGTAAAATTTTTTTACATGAACGCTTTAGTTTCAAGAATTAACGCTTCTTTAAGATTTTTACGTTATTAATTTTATTGTTACCTGACAATTCATCTTCAATGAAATCCTCATCTTTCTCTTCTCTGGGCGACAAAAGTGGGTCTACAAGCTGAAGGCTCATCAGTCCTGACAAACTAATGCCGAGACTCTTGTTGGTCCTATCAATTTCTCCCGACGTGTCCACAGAGATCACTTCGAACTGAGGTTCATTAGTGTCCGAGGCAGGCAGCTCCTTCAGATTCAAGTAGAACTGCTGCACCAGCTGTCTTTTGGTGAGATTCCAAAAACGCTCATTCTTTGGGAAAACCTTGACTTTGGTTTCCAACAGCAGCCTCACTGGCTCTTGAATGCCCCTAATAACGAGGTCAATGGCCACAGTCACATAGCTCTTGACAGGGGCGGACGGGTCTTCGACAACATTCAATTTCTCCAGGGCTGTATCATTTGAGTCCCATTGCCCTGTTATGACATATTTGTTTGATGGCGAGTCACTCCCCATTGAGACCATTTCCAAAAGGCGCATGTCTGCGTGTCTCACATTTCGTCCAGGACAGACGAGGACACCAAAGCAACGCTCTATGTGTAGAATTCGCTGATGGACCGAAGATACTTGGTGGACAGTGAAGCACAGTTGCTTCTCGGTGTTAGCGCGCAACTTGAACTGCGACCGGTCTTTAGGCACAACATAATAGCCTCCCTAAAAGTGGAAAAATATTGGATTAAATTGTACTTAAAAATTTGGAACTCTAGCATATAAAAATAAAGGTCATTTGATGAATAAAAATAAATTTTAAAATTCAAATTGTGTTTTATAACTGGTTGAAAAAAAAAAAAATTTTTGGTTGCCTGAGAGTAAAAATTATTTTACTTCCTCAGAGACCGTATCAGAGGAAATAGGGTTATTTTTCTTTATCTGTCATAAATAAAGTAATTAAACTTAACAAGCTGGGTTTTTGTCTTTCTTTTAATTAACCACAATAATATGTGTGAATAAAAGTGATTTTTATGTAGGTCAAATCTCAAGAAACAAATTATTAAATAATAAATTAATTATAATTGCAACAAAATATACTATAGAGAGTTACACTGCCTTTTCTTCAACTAACCTTCGAGTCTTCCTCTTTGATCTCCATGGTTAGCTCAAAAGTGAAAAGTTCAGACATTGTGGATACGGGTGACTGCAGAGACGACGGCTTTAAATCAACCTGGCTTTCGTCGCACACCAAGGGCGGTGGAGGTCTCGGAAGCGAGCGCATAAATGCTTTGGCAAAGCAGGTTGAGACTTGGCGGACCTTTGTAATAAATTTAAATGAAATTTTAAAGTTCAGAATTTTAAATTCTGGCTTACAGCTTCAGGGATGTCACATCTGAAAACATGGCACTGAAAAATGGCAGACTCCTGAGAGTGTCCGTGCGACCAAGTAAACGCAAAACAGGCAGCTTCCTCCGTCTCGGCAATGCCGTGCGCGTAAAACAAAATACGCTGTACTTCATACGACGTGATAATCTGCATGGTGGCTGCATCAATAAGTACCACACTTCCTGCAGAAAAAAGGAAGAAAATGTTTTTAAGAATTTATGTAGATAACTTATTGCAGATTATATTTTTCCCTCAAGACTTGGACAAGAAATTGAGAAATCTTAATTTTTAAAGAATTGAGTGAAATATTAATAAGTTAGTGCTCTAAAGTAGTTTTTTAAAAAGAAATATTTTTTGGCAGGACACCTTAAAAGAATTAAAGTTATTGACGAGATTAAAAAATAAATGAAACATCCAAACTGCAATCACTTATTATTATTATTATTAAAAAAAAATTATGCATTTTTTGTATTACTGTAAGATAAATTACCCGCAGAGCAACTTGGTACCCTGATGCTGACCCGGATGCACTGATCCTGGTCCTGCTCCCTATTGAGGATGGCCATGTTTCGGTGGATTTCGGCCTCACTTTTAGGAGCGTTGATGTTGGCTGCGCCGAGATACGAAATTTGGTTGAACTCGGCTCCATCGTCGTGGCCTAGATAGCAGAAATAAATATTTGAAATGATAGGAAATGTGGGGTAGCGAGACAATTATTTACTTTTATAACGTTAAAACTTTAAAATGAGGATTTCAGACCTACAAAAAATGTCACATTCGTGTGAGCTCGTCTCTTTATATTTGTTCTCACTCACAATCAGAGATAAGCAGAATAACTCACCGACAAAAGCTTGCGCCTCGAAAAAAGTGTCAGCTTCCTTGTCCTCCTGTGGAGAGGCAATGTAGAATTTACTAGCGCCCACCTGGTGAAAATTGAGCAAATGGCAAAGGACACACTGGGTTAGACCACAAGCACCAAACATAGTGATAAGCTGTCAAATCTAACTACAAGACAAAAATAACCAAAAAACAAAGTTGCAAATTATTTTAGAATCAATGCTAAAATTTGAAAATACCTTAAAACTGCGTCCTCATTATTTTCTCTTATTAAATAAAAGTTTTACAAAAAACTAACAAATTTAATAACTGGTGCATTAATTAAATTATGGTACATAGTAAAATAAAGTGCAAGTGGTTGTGCAAGGGTGAATGGTAATATAATGTAGTAAAAAATTCAAAAGTAAAATTACAATTTCTGAAATTACTTTTTTTTATTTCTAGAATTTCATTAAAAATTTAAAATTAAATGTAAAAAGTTTTTTTTTAAATTTACATAAAACAAATAAGAACTACAAGTGAGTAAAATATATTAACTTTTAGTGGAATATTTAAATGTTGGAAACTAAGAATAATATTTTTTATAATATTTGCAGAACATTTTTCAATAAAAAAAGCAGAAAAAGCAATAATTTATTTATTTTACATTATTATTATTATTTTTTTAATTTTAAAATGACAAAAGTCATTGTGATCCTTGAACAATTTAAAAATGTGTCCCCACAACCACTGATTTTTACTACGTACACATTATCCACCTCGAGTGTTAGCTTTCAATGTACTAAACGACGAGAAGCCCAAGAAATAAAAAGTTAAATCAAAAATACAAATAAATTTTTGACAATCCCATCTCATTCACCGAGCTGGCAAGGAGGTCCTTCAAGTGCAATAAAAGCAACATAACTAACATGAGTATTTATAATAATATGTGGCTTAGGAACTAAGGGGGAAATTTATTTTTCCTCAGTATGTATTGAAAAAGTTATAATTATTTATTTATTTCAAATATATATGTGCATAAATTTATATTTCTGAATTATTTAATTTGAAAACTAAGCAACAAATATCAAACAATTAGGGTGTGTACATACTCTTTACAGTATCATTCGTTGCAAAAAAAAATCAAATGTCAAATGCGTGCAAGTTAAGACAAAAAAGAGGCAATCTAATTTTTTGTTCTCACCCGCTTCCCCTGCTCCTCCATGGTCTTCTCCTCTTTGAGCACCTCGCTCAGACTCAGCTTGAGCTCTTCCAGGTCACCGTTGTTGGCAATCTTCAGCTCCGGCTGGTCCTCACGTGAGTTCTGCACAAACTCGAATCCGCCCCCTGAGTCATTCGACTTTACACTTGACCTGTCTTGGTCCATTTTGCCACTTCGTCACCGCGATCACGGTTGTTTCGACGACGTCAAGCTGGACGACTGCGGACACCGCCCCGCGTTCACCATCTCGCGTGTCCAACTCGTCGCCCGATTCGCAGAACGGAATTCTTCTGAATCGGCCGCCCTCGGGCTCGACTGCTTTTGTCAGTCACGAGATTATGGAAGTTTACGAAGCGAAAGCTGTCAAATATTTTCTGTTTGCTTTCGCGACTCGATTTTGTGTTTTCAGTTTTCAGCCGTCAAAGGAATTGCGAATGCCGACAGCGCTGTCTAGCGGCATTGTCGGAAAACGTCTTCTCATTCTGGTTCGCCAAGAAGTGGCGGGAGGAGGCGGGAGAGAAATTTTGCTACGCGAATTATAAATATAAATATTTTAATCATTTTAATATCCTTCGACTCTTTATTTCGTAAAATGCTCTAGCATTGAGTTTAAATTTTTCTTCTTTAATTTAATTTCTTTAAAAGAAGAGCTTATATTTTATTTTAAAAATATATTTTACTTCATTACACTACCAATGAATTGTTAATTGAAAACAGATTGAAGTCCGCAGCAATCATATTAGTCATATTTAATTAATACTGAAATTCAGTGACCTCTCTTATTGCTAGAGACTTACACTATAAGAGTTTAACGTTCAAGAGGAAAATAAGAGGCATAATATTTTACTCATTCGTATTTGATTTAATTTTTATCTCTCTTACAGTTTTCTCCTCCCTATCTGAAGTAGGCAGACATTTCGTCTGGTATTATATAGTGCTTCTTATATAATCTATTTTTTTTGCAGTGAGCACCGAAAAATGGCAGGCATGAAGCAGTTTAAGATTCTTGTCACTCACCCAGAGATTCCTTCCGTTGCTATAAGAAAACTTGAAGAAAGGTAAATAAATAAGTACAACTTTTTTTAGCAATATAAAATAATTAAAAAAAAAAAAATATGTTTCTCAATCACAGATGTGAGTTGGTTATCTGTCCTGAAGTGCCGTATCCCTCACGAGAGCAAATTCTGAGCAAAATCTCAACCGATTTTGATGGAATTCTATGGCTGTCCAAGCACAGAATGGATAAAGAAGTTTTGGATCTGGCTGGTAATTTTTAAAAGCAAACAATTTTTTTTGTAATTTAAAAAAAAATTCTCAATAATTTCTTAAGGACCAAAGCTGAAGGTTGTTGCCACAGTGGCTGTCGGTTACGACAACATTGAAGTGGTAGAGGCCAAGAAAAGGGGCATCAAAGTGGGAAACACGCCTGGTGTCCTTGATGCTGCTGTGGCAGAAATCGCCGTCTGTTTGCTCCTCGAAGTCGCCAGGAGAGTTCCCGAGGGCCGAAATTGCATTTTAGAGTAAAATTATAATTTCAGCTCATTTTATTTTTTTTCTTAATAATTTCACAGGGGTAAATGGGAGGCAGTGCGTCCGCAATGGCTTTTGGGCAAAGATTTGCAAGGTTCCACTGTTGGAATTGTCGGACTTGGAAATATTGGCCAGGCAATTGCCAAACGACTCCTTCCTTTTGGCATTGAAAAGCTCATCTACAGTGGCCATAAGAGGAAGCCGGAAGGTGTGTACAAAATTGAATGAATTTAAATTTATTAAAAAAAATATGATATTTAATATATATTAAAGGTGATAAGCTTGGTGGAATTTTTGTCATCTTCGATGAATTGCTCAAGCAGAGTGATTTCATTGTTGTTGCCTGTCCTTTGACGGAAGAAACCAGGCACTTGTTCAACGCAAAGGCCTTTGCTGAAATGAAACCGAGTGCCATTCTTGTCAACATAGCCAGAGGAGGTGAGATTAATTTCTGAATAAACGATTATTTTATTAATGTATTTTAAATATTTTTAGATGTCATTGATCAAGAGGCTCTGATTTCTGCACTCCAAACTGGAAAAATTTGGGGAGCAGCTTTGGACGTGATGACCCCTGAGCCACTGCCCTCGGATCATCCTCTGACCAAGTTGAAGAATTGTGGTTAGTAAATTGATTTTTTTTTATATTATATATCTTCATATATTAGAAGTTTAATTTTAATTAAAATTTAGTTCTTGCTCCGCACCTCGGAAGTGCCACTGAGAAAACACGCGCTGCAATGGCCATGCTGGCTGTAGACAACATTCTTGCCGCCCTCGATGGTTCAGAAATGCCTGCCCCTCTTTAATTAAAGCTTGAATTGCTTGCTTCTTATAAAAATTCATAATAATTTTCAAATTAAATTCTGAGTGCATTCAATGGTATTGAAACTGTTGTTAATTGCGGTTAATTGTATTACCTTTACATCACTATATATAAATATTTATGTGCAGCAAAATTTGCCATGAATATATCATACATCTGAATAAATTTCAGAAATTAAAACAAAATAAATGGGTTCAATCACTTCAATCTAAACCCTAAAAACTTCAAAAGGTACAAATTTTACTAAATTACATATTAAATTAAATTCAATCCAATTTTTGTGAATTTATGTAAACATCGGATTTAAAAAATTATGGCTTTTCATTTTTGTAAGGTATTTAATTTTAAAGCAAAAAGTTTACTATTATGCGTTGTGCGTACTTAATTTCCTTTATTTGTTTGCTAGTTTGATGTGAATTGTGATTCAATGTAATTTGAGTGCCGTGTGCCGTGCTCTGGCCGTGCGTAATTGTCTTTGCCGCGCTCTCGCGTGATTTTTAAGAGTGGGGGAAGATCAACAAAAATGAACCACTTGGGAAAGAGCACGACTGCACTTTAAAAACGAGACAATCAGGAGCAGCTGTGGAGGCTGGAGAGTGGTGTTTACATTTTTAGGAACCGGGTTTTCCTGACAAATTTTTGATGGGAATTTGAGTTTTTTTAAAGGCAAGCATTTCCACCTTTTCCTGATTGAAATCTCACATTTTTTCTCTCAAAACGTTTCCAGTCAACTTTGGACGCAATTTCAATGACGAAGTACTTGCTATTCTTGATTTTGCTCGCGACGCCCACGACCTTCTGCAACGAGGATTACTACGAACTCTTGGGTGTCAACAAAGATGCGGACAACCGAGAAATCCGCAAGGCTTTCAAAAAGCTCGCCGTCAGCATGCATCCGGACAAAAATAAGGTTGATTTATTTAAAATTTCATTTCATTGTTCCTCAAGTAAAAAAATCGCCTTTCACCACCTGTAGGATGACAAGGATGCCCACGACAAGTTTGTGAAAATTGCCAGGGCTTACGAAACCCTCAAGGACCCTGATCTGAGGAAGCACTATGATCTCTATGGGGAGGACAACCAGAATAAAAATCATCAGAGCTACCAATCCTGGAGTTACTACAGAGACAATTTTGGAATCTATGACGATGATCCTGAAATCGTTACTCTTACTAGAGCAGAATTTGGTAAATTTGATCATCAAAACCTTAAGAATATAGCTTGGAATTTAATGTTTTCCTTTTAAGAGCAAAGTGTTGAGAATGGAGAGGACATTTGGTTTATCAATTTTTACTCTGCAATGTGCAGTCATTGTCATCAGCTTGCACCGACGTGGAGGAAATTTGCCCAAAGAATGCAAGGAGTGATTCGAGTCGGAGCTGTCAATTGTGAGGATGACTGGGTTTTGTGCCGCAACCAGTTCATCCAGTCCTATCCCAGCCTAGTGTATTACCCTAATGTAAGATTTCTTAACTCAGATTAATTACAAAATTTACAATTTCATTTTCCTAGGGAGAAAAATTCCGAGGCGATCGCTCCGAGGATGGTCTAGTCGAGTACGTCCTGAGTCGTTTGGACGTTGAGGTCAGAGAAGTGTCTCCCAGCACATGGCCATCCTATGAAAATGAGCCACGGCTCTTATTCTTTAGTGATTTCTCAGGTGACGGACCTAGTGAAGAAACTCGAATAAAAGTTGCCGCTATGCTTGTAAGTTGATGATATTTTTCAAGGCTTTCTTAATTAATAATAATTTTGTTATCAAGGATGGCCTGATGATGGTTTCCCATGTTGACTGCGAAAAGTTTGAGAACTTCTGTGAAAAAATGGGCGCCTCATCTGGGACAGCTGTGTGGCCGACAAAGTCCGACTTAAATCCTGTCTTTCTGCCTGGGCTTGAAGCGCAGGAAATTTTAAACCAAGTCCTGTCGCAATTGCCTGAGCCTGCACTCATCAGTCTGCAGGACTTTGAAGAGCTTCGGGGGAGGCTAGAAGAGGGAGCCTCCGAGCCGTGGTTGCTTTATTTCCACATTGGTGAAATGGAGAGTGCCAGGCTTGATCTGAGAAAATTTCCTGCAAAGCTTCCAGGCATGAGAATCGGAAGAGTTAACTGTGGGCAGAGTCACCACTTGTGCTCTAATTTGCACATCCACAGGTAAATTTTATTTTGGCTTTGTTACAAAATTATACTATTTTAATTAAGATCGAAACATTTCATTATCTACTAATTTTACACAAATAATAATAAAAAATAGATTAATTAAAAAAGCTCCAAATATTCAGGTATCCAGTTTATGGCATTTTCAAGCAAGGAGGGTCTTACGAGCTCTACCACGGTCGCTCCTCTGCCTCTGACGTTGCTCAATTTGCTCGTCAAAGTTCCAAAGCTCAATATGTGACCACCCTCACCCCTGATGAGTTTGGGGCATCAGCTCCCCTCAGTTCGACACCTATGCTAGTTGACTTTTTTGCACCATGGTGTCCGCCCTGTATGCGCCTACTGCCTGAACTTCGACAGGCAAGTCAAATTCTGGGTCCCACCGTTCCTGTAGGCACCGTCGACTGCACAGTCCACGCCGGTCTCTGCAGACAGATGGGGGTCAACTCGTATCCAACTACGAGGCTGTACAATGGCTCCAGGGTTGATCACTTCTCGGGAGAGCACAAAGCCAACAGCATTGTTGAGTTTCTGCAGGATTTGATGTCTCCTGTTGGTGAGATTGAAATTTTATTTAAACTCTATAAATTTTTACTACTAATTTATTTTTCAGTCCAAGAACTGGACTCGGAAACTTTTTACGAGACTCTCGGCAAGAAAAATGAGGGAGAGATGTGGCTGGTTGATTATTTTGCTCCATGGTGTGGTCCCTGTCAGCAACTGGCACCACAGTGGCGAAAATTAGCAAAAGTAGGGAAGAATAATATTTTATTAATTTACATTGTATTGAAAATTATTTTCTAGATGCTTTCTGATTTGACTATGATTAAAATTGCTTCTGTAAACTGCGAAAAGCATTCAGATCTGTGCTCCCAGCATGGTATCCGCTCTTATCCTTCCATCAGACTGTATCCCCTTGGATCTAGGGGACTTTCACAAGTGGCGTATGCTAAGAAAATTTACATTTTTAATTCCTTAAATCATAAAATTACTTTAGCTTGTATAGCGGCTATCACAGAGACGCCCACACCCTTAGACAATGGGTGATGGACTTTGTTCCAAGCATAGTTGAGGACCTTGATGAAAGGTCTTTCAATAAAATTGTCCGAGGCAGCTCAAAACCTTGGGTGATTGATTTCTACGCTCCATGGTGTGGACACTGCACTGTTTTTGCTCCGGAGTTTGACCTCGCTGCCAGGGTAATTGAATAATTTTGACAAATAACTTTGTTTAATTTGCTTAAATTTTGAATAGAAATTGGAGACAACGGGAGTTTCTAGTGGCAAAGTGGATTGCCAAGATCACCAACCTTTTTGTCAGCATCTTGGCGTCAGAGCCTATCCAACAGTTAGGCTGTTTCTGCCAGACGAACGGGGAGACGGAATTGAACTTTCAAGTAGATCTGCTGATGATTTGGTGCAGGTTGTCAAATCGATGTGGACTTCAGGAACACAAAATCAGCATGACGAGCTGTGATGCTAATCTCGCAAGACTTCGAATCTTTAATATCTTCTAACGACCGGCACATTATCAAATTGATCTGACCCTCTCATTCAAATGCAGCAGTATTTATGTGCCAATTTTAATTTGGCGTAAAGACTAAAATATTTAATTTAGAAATTACAATTTTTATATTAGAATAATCCTTAACTCTTCATACCTAGTAACTTGCCAAAAATGTATTTTGTGTTCCTAATCTACACCCTGCTGTTGCACAGCTTAATTTTCTCATTTGTGAATAAACTGAAGTCTATTAAATAAAAAATTGAAATCTAAATGCTTGTAATAATTATAATTATATTGATTTTTTTAATTTACTTATATATTTTCAACACACATCCAATTTCAGACTTTGGATAATATTCTTTATGTTACTTTTTCTTATCACCATTGGAAGTATCTTCTTCCTTGCTCTCACCCTTAAATCTTTTTGGGAAAAGACCATCATTTACTTTATCATATAACTTCTGCATCTGTAAATCTCTACCACCCAGGTTATCTTGTGCTTCTTGTTTCATACCAAGTGTTTCAACGTTGATTTTATCTGCATTGCCTTGAAGTTCGTACATGTCTTCATAAGATGCGCGCACATTTTCAGGAGGAATAAGGGCAGCTGCCACATAACGAAACTCCGAGTTGAGGAAATTGAAGGTGGCACAAGCTCGATCTGTGGGCAGAGCTTCCACGTTTAGTCCTAATCTCTTGATTTCCTTCATTAATCTATGGTCAAGAATTTTTTCGTCTCCCATGCCGAGAACTAAAATGTCTGTAAAACATTTTTTGATCAATTTTGAACAGTTTCAAAGTAGAATATATGATTTACCAATTTTAGGATCTAAGGAGAAGAACAGTTGTAGTGACTTAGGGGTGATATCGTCCATACCGGCCACATTCCACGACAAAACAGATCTTGGGAAAAGGGCAACTGGACCGACAACAAACACACCATTGCTCAGTCGAAAGCCAATCTAAAACAAATAAAAAATTTGTGTCTATTGTGGGGAAAGATAATTTTGTTTCGCAGACTTGGCTGTAGGAATCCACAAGCAATCCTACGTCACTATCTTCATTTGAAAATGAAACAGTGGTTCTTCCAGGTCCATCATAATTCGTTCGCTTTTGTTGTTCATCTGCCTTGGTAATTTGCTGTCTTCTTTGCATTCTAGAAATTCATAATATAGTAAAATAAAAACTCTGGAATATTTTTAAAGAACAAACCTTAAGCAGCGTGAAATGCTGTGGAAAAGTCTTCTCGAACAAATATTCATTTTTCAAAATATTTTTTAATCACTGGCTTTTAAAAAGAAAGTATGTAACAGATGGATTTCTCCAAGCCGTTTTACTTTGAGGAAGATTTCAAATTTCTTGATCGAAACAAGAATTTCTGATTATCCGCTCAGCTCCGGCCAGCTCGTCGTAAATTGTTGTTTATTACATAAGATCGAAAGTCTTGTTGGCCGCAAAATCGCTTTCAAGGGGGAGTGGCATCATAACATTCACTTCACGTCGCATAGCGGCTGGAGCTGTACTTATGCCACCCGCACAATAGCGATGTTTCGCAGGTTGCTTGAAAAAATAAATCAGGCGCTCAGCAAAATTTTTCTTTCAATTATATAAAAAAAATAAACTAAAAGACTCCAAATACATACATTGATTTGGAATCATCTAAATGATAATTATGTGAATTAAATAATTTTTTACTCGTGTAGTTTATTTGCCTTTATTGTTATGATACAATTGATCAAAAGTCAAGATATCTTCAGAGATAAATTAGCTCCAGACTTTAGTGATGGGTTTATTTTCAAGAGTTATATCCTTTGAAAATGCATTTTTAATAAACCATTCATATTCCTAGTGAGTAATGACTGCAAAGAAAGGAAATAGATTTTTAGTTGATTATAATTTTGGTCTTAAATTTTAAGCTGTACGTACCTCTTGTGGTGGCTATCACGGAGCCACTCTCGAAGAGGGGCAGCCACAATAGAGCCAAGCAAGATCTGTGTGGGATGATAAACCAGCAACGGCAGAGATATTTGAGATAAGTGCGCGTAGCCTCCAAATAAAATGCGCAACATTGGAATGCCTAAATAAAAATAAATAGTCAAGTAAAAGTAATTAAAATGAAATTGTGTTTTTGAAAACCTAAAGTTAGAGATTTGTGTGTGGAGCAGAATAAAATTGCAACAACGTCCGACGGAGAGAACCATCGGTGAAGTCTGCTGGTTATCGAGAAAACCAGAGACATGAGACCAACTTGTAGAAGCACAACTGCAGAGATAAATTTTTAGAGAAAATATGTTATTTTACTTAATGAAAAATACCAAATAGAATGGCAAACAAAATATCACTCGCGTCCATGTGTCCAGCGTCGTTGATGAAAGTGTCACAGAAGGTTGCATAAATAACCAGCAGCAGAGCCAGCTGACTGAGAAAGCCAAGCAAAGGCGAGTTTTTCTGGGCCCAGTTTCCAGCCGCCCTCCTGGAAATTTGGCCAAACAGTAATGGGAGCAGAACAGTCATGCCGAGCTGAATCACAGTCGAGACCAGAGGCACCAGAGTTGAGACCCCCAGCTGAAGGATCATTTTAGAAAATCAATAATTGTTAAATAAATTCAGGCTTACAAAATATAATAGAGTGAGAGGAGTAACGATGATTCCGAGAAAACTACCAAAGGCTGAGTTAAAAATTGCCGCAGCTTCGTTTCCTCCAACGGCTCGGGTCAGAATGACTGCAGAAGACACGGGTGGCGGCATGCAGCTTACAGTGACCAGTCTGTTAATTTTCAAAAAGGCAATATTAATACTAATACTTTTCTGATTACTTCAAATAAATATACCCTTTGACTATCCATTCATTGAGCCCAAGAGGCCTCAGGAAAAATACAAAAACTTGCACCAGCAGTGGAAATAAAAACAGAGTGAAGCACTGGATGAAGACGTGCAGCCGAACCTGACGAATTGCTAAGTAAAGCTGCTCACTTTTTAACGAAAGGCCGCTGATGAAAAAAATGCCTGCTACGCAAAAATACTTGACAGTGATCTCGGGGCGAAGTAATCCTGGGGGAAGAAATTTTCTGAAGCAAATCAACTTTTACAGAATTTTAATGTATAAGACTGACCTCCTCTAGAACCAATTGAAGGATCGATTTGTGCAAAAATAATGGCAAATAAAATTCCCACAAGCAGCCAATTCTCTTTCAGCTTTTCCTTCAGGTCAACCCTTTTTGACCTGCTTTTAAGTTTGACTCCCATTTTTTTTCTTATGCCCCTCTTTTGCTCAAAATCAAAGGCTGAGGCTCAAACAATTGCGTAGGTAAGACATTTTAAAATTGAATGTTTTAAACAATGGGGTGAGGGTAGAAGTGGACACGCAAAAATTTAAAATAAAAACTTTCAACAGCCTAGACCATCTGGAGGCTCGAGCTTTGTTTTTATAAAATTGCAGCCGGTCGAAATTGGGGCGGGGCTTGTTTTTTTTTTATAAGACCGCGCCCCCTTTTTCATCTGGTTGTTGTTTGTGCGTTAAGTTATCGAGTAAAAAAGGCCGACTGCTTAATTTTGCCCAACTCTTTGACTTAATTATAGGTAATTATATTAATTTTTTACAAAAATTATGTTTTTTTTATGAAATACATATTATTATGCATTAAAAAGTCAGAGGCTTTTATTTTTTCCATTTATTTTTTATTTTATTTTTGAATCTTACTTTTAAAATCTACAGATATGGCACAGCCGCCAATTAACACGGCCATCGACAGTCTGACGGCCGCCCTCAAGGGTAACATAATCCCCAACCAAGAGTACATCCTGCAGGGTAGTATTTTGGACGCTTCGGTGGAAGTTTTGCTTCACAGACTGCGAGGTCTCTGCGACAACGTCGATGCGGCACTTGAGACCTTCCATGACCACGAAATGTGCTTCAGCATTCGTAAGTTAAATGAAAAAATTTAGAGAGTAAAGCAGGAATAATAAAGTTTGAAATTAACTTCAGGTGGTCCCAACAACACACAACCCATTCAATTACGTGTTCGGAGATCTATTGACCAACCTATGATGCCGATGCAACTGAGATACATTGGCCAACCTGAGTTAGGTACTAATTTGAGTTTTAATAATTTAACTCAATGATTGCATATTGATGTTTAAAATTTAGGTGATAAGTCGCAGCCAACTGTTTTGAGGAGCAGCATTGATATCGGAACATCGAACACAGTTGTGGAATTTTTGACAGAATTGGGATGCAGGAAGGAATTTGAATACATTGCCAAGGGGTACATGTTTAGAAAAGGACGCATGAAAATCACTGTTTTTAAGGTGTGTTCATATTAATTAATTTTGAGGTCTTTGTTGAGAAAATTTGATTAAAGGTTTTCAAGATTGATGAAATGCGCAAGACTGGAGCGTTGGAGCCGATGTCGCAATCGTACCTTGTGGAGCTCAGTGTTTTGGCTCCGAGTGGGCAGAACGCCATTGCCGATGACATGCGATGTTTTGCTGAACAGCTGCGACCTTTGGTCCAGTTGGAGAAGATCGACTACAAGAGACTTGCGCATGGACCTTAACGTTGTATTAACTAAGATAATTATTTTAAATAATAAGGAAATATCATAAGTATCAAATAAGGGATTTATATGTTGAATAATGGTCTCAATGATTTAATGCAGATCATATTTTATTTTTTCAACGGCCTCCTCAATTAATATTTTATTTTTTAACTTCCACATCGCTTGCTGTTATGTCTGTTAAAACTTGGTCCAATTTCTGAACTCGAATTTATTTTTATTCCTGAACATTAAGTTTGAACATGTGTTGATGTACCCATGTTTATTTGTAAAGCACTTATAAGACTATTAAGGCCTTTACTAATACAGCACAAAAAATGGTCCATGCGGATATACATGAGGAAATTGCAATATTTAACAAATTTTTGACAACACTGATAAAAAAAAACAATTTTCCACTGGGAAATTGGGATATGCAAATTGAAAGCTTCTAATACCCACAGAATTTTTCAAGGAGTTGGAATGAAAGCACAATAAGATGCACTGATATGGCCACAATTACAATTTTTCAACAAGTTCTCTAAAATTAATACCAAGCGGCATGAACAGCTTGCGATCTTTTTTTTAATAGAAACCAATTCACTCGAAGGATCACATTGAGTTGCAAATCAACGAAAAAGTTGGAAAAAGTAATAAAAATTCTTATATGTATAATTTAAATAAAGCTTAAATTTTAACAATCACTGCGCCAGTCAACACAGAAACTTTGTCCTACGGGGTCAGTCGTACCGACTGGCGAGTTCTTCGGATTTGAAAACTTTGTTCGTGCCGAACATGCGCGGACTGCCGTGGTTGTTCTTCAGTGGGCTGGACAGTGCCAGGCTGAGGATGTGGGTCGGGCTGGAGCGTCGGCCGTCGCGAGGAGGCGGCGACGCCTGCAGGGGAGGTAGCCTGTGTTTGGGGGACACATTGGGCTGTGGCGTGCGCGCCCTCGTAGGGGAGGAGGTCAGGAAGCCTTGGCTGTGGAATTTGATTGAGCTGACGGAAGTTTTGTGACCGTTGCTAATCAGCGAGAGTCTCCGCAACTTGTTCGGGTCCAAAGATGAGTTGGACGTTCGTCTGTCCTCATAGGAGTCTACAAAATCAGGACCCTGCAAACAATATTCAAATTAGAATTTATTGATTTCAGGTGCCGCTTTTATATACCTAAGAACCTCAAGTTCAATTGAATTTTGTTCAACAACAAATGCATATTGCTCAATGGTCTAGGGGTGCTATGAGGTTGATTTGTTGACAATTTTAAATAATTTTATTTTGGCCAATTTTGAAGAAATTAAAAAAAAACGCGGGATGCAAAAGAAAATTTATTTTAAAAATTGTATTTTTGAGATGAAATACAATGCTTGAAAGCTTGATACTAAAATGGTAAATTTTAAAATAATTTGCCATAAAAGTTACTAATTTTCAGGCCAGCTAACGGACTTATAGCAGATAAAAGTAATTATTGAGAAAAATTTAAAGCAGGCTTAACCTCAAAAAAGAACTTTCAACTTGAAAGAAGATAGCCAGGAAAAACTTTTTTTACAAAAGGGGAGCTTTTCTGCTAACAAAAGAGCTGTGTGCTAGGAGGGTAGGATCGTATCTCCTCATTATAGCTGTAAAAGGATAGCGACTTAGCACGAACTTTCTATGAAGTTGATAGACTTAAAAGTATAAAAACTAATGGTAAGCGCTTGCTGTAGATGCTCCGCTTTGTATAGTGAATGTATATCAGTACTTTCTTGAGGAAAATCAACAAAAAGAGTCCTTTAAATAACTTTTCTAGATACATTTTACCATGAAGTGAAGAAATAAAAACAGAACATAGAAACCTCTGACCGGTTTTTATGATGAAAACATTTAATTCAAGTAACAAAGACTTGAAGTATGAGATATTGAAGAAATTTTAACTTCTATAAGATATGTTATTTATAGAAGGAGAAAATTGCAATATTAAACTTACACTTTCTATTTTTTCATCCAGCATCCTAAAAAAGTCTGTTTGGCTTTTAGAAACTTCCCTGTAACATCAAAATTAAAGGACTTCAACAATTTTTTAAGGAAATTTAATTATTCTCCAACCTATAAAAATATATAATGTAACGAATATTTATTTTGGAATATTGAGCATTTGTACGTAGGGAGAAAAAGATGAAATGGTAAATTGGAACATTTCAGGTAAAAAAATTTCAGAAGTTAAAAAAATTAAATAATAGCAGTTTTTAATAAAATTTATTCAGGAACTTTTAATTTTATTTGCTCAATAAATTTGGCAATACACAATTTAGAATTGATTTGTTTAGTGCAAAAGTAATTTAATGACTTCTTTTCATCATTTTGTGAAGTCAAGTGAATGTAAAACCCCCCTGGGGACTTTGACTGCGGCTCTAAGTTGCTCAAATACGCCAGCCTCTTTCGTCCCGCTTTTCTCGCTGACTAGAGCCCCCATAACCTTTCTCGCCCATTCCAGCCAGATTGAGCGAGTTAGGCAACCGAGCGTGCACCAGTGACGGGCGCATTGCCTACCCACTTGTAATGCAGCGGGAAAAGGCTCGCGAGTTAATTGAGTTTGAGCGGACGCAGCGAGGGTCACGCGCATTTTCTTACGCCATAGCCAGAAGGGGTCCCTGCGAGATCTGCCGAAAGCGGGCCACAGCCGCCGCTCGTCTCGCGCTCGCTGCCTCCGGGCTGTCCGAGTTGAAGTCGAGGGAAGCGTCTTCGATGGACAGGTTGTCCACGCTCTCTACCACCATATCATGCTGCTCTTTCTCTGTAAACACACGTTAAATTTATTTATAGTAAATAAGTTAAATGGGATGAATTAAATTTTACACATTCAAATTCAATTGTAGAAAGATTACGAATCAAAATAAATATTGTGAAGATATTTTAACTCCTTTGAAAGCTCTCTATTAAAAATAAATTTATTTAGGAATTCACACATTAAGGGAATCGTTGGTAATTTTCAAAATTTTACAGGAACTTCAGTTGCTCTATTTTCAGTTATCTCTGGACATGGACGCAGAACTTTGCTCACGTAGAGATAAAATGCCTAAGTTCTTATTGATTTCTTATAGGGATCTGCTCTGTACGACTTCCCATCAATTGCCTTCTGGCTGGAGGAGAAGAATTTTAATATCCTGTCGACATGCTAAAAACATTTCCGTGCAATAAAGCATTGTTTTTGTCAAAGCCAAAAGGTGGTGCAACATTTGCTCAAAACAAATTTTCCAAATAATCTTCACTGATATTTTATTTTATAATAAATTGCTTTTTAAGATTTTTATTTTATAAATAAACCAATAAAAGCATGTTTTGTACAGATTTTTTTCTCATTTTTCCTCTGCACTTTGTCAAACGAGTCTTTCTCACAGTGGAAAGATGCGTGTTTTGGTTTTCCATGACAGCAGTATTGGATTTTACACCTTATTTTCTCGTTGGAGTCGCTCTCCAATATCAATTTGTCAATGCGCGTAGCTACTTAATGAGAATCTTTCAGCTCGAGTCTGGTGGTGCGAGTGAATGAGACGATTTGGAAAGGTTGAGCTGCAGCGCGGGACCAAGAGAGCCTGATATTAGGGCTGCTGAGCACGGCTGGTTGGGCTGATATGGTTATGGGTGGGATCGATATGGCCAGCGAAAGAACACACACTGCAAGAGGGAGAGCGAAGAGGCTGGAACGCGTGAAATAATGATGCGGAACAATAATGGGCCGCGGAATTACAGGGGAGGACCAGGCGTGCAAAATGATATTTCCTCGCTCTATTAGAGTTAAGATTACCCTTTGCATGATTGAATGAAATAAAGATTTGTGGAATAGCGCCGCTAGCAAGTGTACTTTGGTGGGCAAGAGATGTAGGTGGTTCAGATTAAGCAACGAGAAATGTTAATGTGTTTATTTTGAATCGTTTTAATGAAATTAAAAGTATTGAGTAAGTAGTAAAATATTTGACAATTGAATTGGTTTTTTTTAATAAGATTGTTTTTCATAATTTAATTGTTACGATTTGTTAGTTGTTTCATAATGTTTTATGATATTTTGTAACCAAGCTGATGTCATGTGTTCAAATTTCACCTCTCATTTTTCATTTAATGTTATAGAAAAACATTTAACTTTTATATGCAGGAAAATTATGAAAGTATAATTATGTTAAAAATCTGCGATAAAAATGCGCACTTATTTTAATTCAATACTCTTTCAATTTAACGGAGTAAAAAAATATGAAGAAAAAATAAGTTTTCTTAATTATTTAACACTGCATACAACCAATTAGTCGAAAATAAATAGTTAGAATTGATTTGTTGTTCTTACTGCAAACCCTATTTTGTTATTTTTTTTTCTGTTTAGAAATACGAGTGTTTGCTGTAGCACATTTCTGTTCTTTCGGGAAAAACCTGTATCGATTTGGAAAATGACACTGCAGGAGTTGGAAATTGGCTCCACCTGTTATTTTTTCGGGCAAATGAAGGTCGAGCAGAGATGGCTCGCCTTTTTATCAGCGTTGCGTGCCGCGCTCCAGGAATACAAATGGTCCATTCGGCCGGTTCACAAGGCAACTAAGTGGCATGACGACTGCTTTCTCGTTTTAAACACCACCAACGTTCGTTGAATACATCCGAATTCCCCCTTTCGAGCTTTTCGTGTTTTTGCCTCTGTGTCGCCTTTTTCACAAAGGACAATTAAACAAAAACTTTCCGGGCAATTCGATCGCTCTGACTGCTGCCACACATCCAGACACGAAACGTGCCCAAGCGTTAAAGAGGCAATTTGGATGAGGCTGAGAGACGAGTGCTCCATTGAAGCATCCGGCGCTCGCAGATAAAAGCGCATAGCAGTTGATGGAGTGTGCCAAAACTTTTCAAATAGAAGAACCCTTATGCTCTCCATTCAGTCGGGGGCAACTTTTGGTGCAAACAATGCATTAAAACTCTCAAAACGTTTCCGCTCGATCTCTCGTCACCCAATTTTCCCGCGTAGAGCCAAAACCAGGCGCACAAATAAATCAAAGGGTTTTCAATCGGGTTCTTCTTGCGTCTGAACGCTTCTCTGAGCAAATAATTGAAGCTAATCTGGTCGAACATCATTTCACGAGGATTTCACCAGGATTAACAAAGTTCGCCGTGTAGTTCCGTCCCAACAACAAAACAACTCCCCAGGTGCAAATATAGAACACGAAAAGGAGACGTAAAAGCACTTTTGCAAGACCAGGACCTACTTTTAGAAGTTCTTTCAAGAAAAATATCCCGGAATAAACTACTTTCTGTTTTTTTGCCTTTTTGGTTGAAAACTTTGGGGTTGGATAATGGAAATACGTCAGACGCACAGAATAAGTGGCTAATTGAAATCACAGTCAGAGAGTGAAATACGATATGAACTGCAATTAAAAAACGAGATTTACTTCTCTGGTCTCGCGTGTAATTGCTCTCAGTGCCAGCAGAGCTTAATTCCGCTCTAACAATAAGAAAAACTAAATGGTTCAAACAAGGATATTCCTCTTTTGTTCTTCTCCGGCCGTCACTCATCGTGTGCTTTGAACCTTAGCCTTAATAAACTGGCAAAATGTTTCCCAAAAATTTTTTTTCTGGTGCAATTGAGTTTTTAGTATTCCACGAGGAGAATCATGGCCATTTTCACTAAACAACCAAGTGACATTTAAAAATTCTTATGCAAAAAGTGCAGTGTCAAATTAAAAAAAATCATAATATTAAAATAACACAAGATTATACTCAATGCACCACATTCCCTCCATAATTACAAAATTTCCAACTAATTTATTTATCTTTAATTATATCTGATATAACTACCAATGTATAGTTCAATGGAACTGTATGGAAATGTAATAAATTTGTAAGTATAAATAAAAAATTAATGATACTATTAAAGAAATAGAAAAAATACATTAAATAATATGCATTCAAATTTCTAAATTAAACTTTTTTTATAATTACATTTAATTTAAAATTAAATTTAACATAAATAAAATAAAAAAGTTTCACTTCAATTTTCTTTAATGTTGCATTAAAGTATAAAATACAAAGTTAAAAACAAAATTTAATATTTCATTATCGCCAAGCATATAAAATTTTACTATTAAAACTGATCAAATTTTTATATTATTAAATTTATGGATAATATATAGGGGCCGATATTGCCCGACGATACATTGATAAACAATATTAAAACTAAAATGACACATTTTAAGTGGTATCAAAATAACGTAATCGTTTTCGTGTTATTTTCGAGGCAAACCTCGTTTTCCGCAGCGTTTAGATATAATTCGCCTAGAGCTGAGAGTGAGAAACGCTGAAAGCCTCGTGATCGGTGACATTCGCTGCTTCTTTAAAGTTTCCTCCACCATGTTTCCCTCTCGCAAGATACTTTTTGGCGCAGAGATAGCTGTCACCAAAAACACTCCGGCCGCGGGGCATTCGCCTGGAACAGGCAGACGACTCTCACCAAAATCGAGTTTTCCACGCACGCCCTTTTATTCCTTAGTAAAATAAATAATATTTTTGCAAGCACGCGCAGGTACGAAAAGCGTGGCTCCTTTTGGGCGCAAGTTGAGCGGAATCATCGCAGCGGGACAAAAGATAAGTCTCGTGCGGTGTCCGCATTGTTTTCTCACTGCGCCCGTCCTTTTCCACCGAGAGCATTATCGTTCGTCAGCGGAGGAGCTTCAATGCGGGTGATGTGCGCGAATCGGCCCCGGCAAAACCGCAATCCCGCGGGTTGCTTGTTGCATCGATTCGCGCACACACATTCGAACGAGACAGATAAATAGTAGCGAGACCCTGACAGACAGGCGGTGAAGTTGCTCGCAGATTCGCCCATTGTTTGCATGAATTAATACATATTTGTCAGCCGAAAGAGGTTTGTGACGGAAGTCTGATATGACTTGGCGTTTGTCAACTGCAGCATTGAACAAATATTTACTTGTAAAATCAAATATGTCACAAAACATTCTGTGTAAATGATATAATCTAGTTAGTTAGTGGCAAAATGAAATTTAATATTGTGTAACAATTTTAACAGGAAATCTAACAATAAGGCTTCATAAACTGTGAAAGACGTTCGTTGCAAAGATGATTTTATTGAGGATTTTAAGTTTTCAGGAAGAGGGGAAGGACGCATTCTTTATGAAAAAATAACATTTCTTAATGTTTAATGTTATTGTTTTGACTGAAAAATAAATTTTAAACCAATTTTAACATTTCTTGTAATAATGTTATAATCAGTCGTTAGCATTGCGTTTGCTGACAAAACAGTTTAAAATTTCAATCGGCTAATTTGAAATTTTCATTTATAAACTTTTGTGCTCATTTTTTTAGTCTCATAAAAAGAGATAATGATAGCATAACACATTCTTTTTTCAACAAATTTAACAATGCTGCTTGCCAACTAGTAATCGTAATCGCCAAACCTTTTTCTTTTGGAAATAACGGGTAAATTCATAAAGTTTTGCAAATAGCCGCTGGAAAATAAAGCTACTAAAAAGAGAAAAACTATCAGTTTTTTCCAAAACTTTTCAATGGAAATTTTGTTTTACATTTATGCAATTTTAACCACATTGTTATCAAGCAGAATGCATATCTACAAAACTCTAACTTCCTTATCTCGTGAGATTGTTGTTTGGATAAGAATTTCAAGAAATATAATTATAATAACGACAATTGTATGCAGAGTTGAACAGAAACTCGATCAGAAAATCGTGAGAGGTTAATTTTTTCCCTCAAAGGGGAATAGTGAACTGTGATATTTTCCTTTCACCT